AATAACAATAAAGTTTAATCTAATCTTGAGCAGGAACAACATTTATTTACTTAGTACATATCTGACGTTAACGATTAAACACATTTGTGCATTCTTTATAAAGTCAAGCTGACTCCGGAGGTGGCGGTGTGCACCTTAACCTCTTAAGCCCTGAGCCTGTTTTTCAGGTTTCATGCTCGAAAAGGCTCTGCCCAAAACAAATGACTATAACTTAACTTCTAAAAGGGTTATATGAATAATTTATTTTATCAAAGCAAGGTTACATCTGTGAGTTGGATGTAAAATAATTAATATAGATGTTTCTGTGTCTGAGTAAATTCAGATGGAACATAGTAAAAAAAAAGGTAAATTCTTACCTCCGCCTAAAAAAACATTACTTATAGTGAAAACCACCCTTGAATGATGGGATGGTAGACTAAAAGCTTTAGTAATCCAAAGTATAACATATAGTAAGTACCCTGTATCAAGATTGAGGAATCTGAATTGGGACTACTAAATGAGCGAGACTCAAATATCAGAAGTTCAGAGTAAGTTTTAGTAGTTTTTATTTTATGTATACTTCATTTACTTTACTCAGGGTCACAGGGAAGAAACCAGTTTTAAGATGTTGAAAAGTTCATTAAACATAAAAAGGCATTTCAAAGAAGTTGTGTTATTCTACATTTTGACACCAAGAGTTTCAGATTTTACTGCAAATGTTTATCGGTTATCGGTCTCCTTGATTACTAATAATCGGTATCGGCTTAGAAAAAGCCATATCGGTCGATCCCTAATCACAGTGGGATATACACATTCTTTACTTATTGAAACGGCCTTGTCTGAGGTTTGTGATATCTTAAGTGCCCTTAGAGTACTTTTAAGTCACAAATATCATTTTAAAAATAAAGGTAAATATGGTTTCTCCAATTTTACCACATGTTGTAGCCGCTTGTTTTTGTGGATTTTATTTGTACTATATATTTTGTACTGAGTGTGCGATTCTTAAAGCAGTCTGTTAATAGTATGTGTATTTAGTTGTGATGAACTGTTTTAAATACTCTTTTGGGGCAGAAGGTTGCCGGGTTGTTCAGTTTGAAAGAGGTAAACTATCGGAGGCAATTTTGAATGTTCATAAAGGGATTGATCTTAATGAGCTGCATTGGATGTTGGTAGTGTTTTGAGTTGGGACCCCACTCTTTGACATTAAGAACCATTTCCTATTTTGAGGAATGGATCATTAGGAGTGTTGGACACCTGGGCTGGTGTGACTGCTCAGCCATATCATTATAAATGCATCCACACTGCACACTTAAGTTAGTTCAATAATGAATAAGAAAAAATGCCAAAGATGAAGTATTTCTAGGAAAAAACAGTTTAAAAACATTGCTTAGTTTGTCCACCAGAGAGCACTGATTTAAACGTTCAGATGGTCACCATTCAGAAATGTTTAAAATAAAGGATCAGATTGCTTAAAAAGTCAAATGTTGTTTTCAGCCTCAACGATTTACTTTTTACGTCTTTATGTTTTTTAAAGAAAAAAAAGAAAAGAAAAAAATGTTCATTAAATCTCTCGTTTATTTGTAATGTATAACATTTTAAAAATATTTAGTACAATATTGAAAATTGTACAATTGTGTATTGTAAACATTAAAACAAATGTTTAACACATGAATAATGATCGAGAAGATGGATGGATGAATAATGATTTTTTTATATTCAATAAAGTGATATCATATAAATTTGGATTTTGATTGTTTTTTTATTTATTCTTTGCTCGTATGACATGATAAATATAGCTTATACTTACTGGACATGATTTTTTCACTTGATGTACAGTTCCATTAGGAGTATTACTACAAATCGTTGTTTTTTTATTTGTGAATGATTGTCACACCCTAAATGAAAGGATCTATTTTTTTAAAGGATCTATTTTTTGTTTTGTGCAATCCTTTTTTGCATTTGATTGACAAGACTGTTGGTCTCTCTTCCTCCATAAATCCTGTTGGTTTGTGCTTCTGGATATATTTTGATAAATGTATGCTTTATTTTACATTTGGATATCCCTTTACTCCCACAAATGTTGTCATGTCTTCATTAGAGTCTGTATTAAAAGGATAAACCACATTTTTCAAATCACACATCCTGTATTACAATGAGAAAGCAGCACAGGACAAACCAGCTCGATGCTGTGCGTTTTACTGCTGTAGTCCCACACCGAGGACACGTAACTTCCAAACAGAGGGCTAAAACCACAGAAGAGAAAAAGAAAGAGGAAAATCAAAATGGCTGAAGGAGAAAATAATGGGAGTGGAATCACTACTTATCCTGTTTCTTCTAAATAAAGTACGGTAATTGTTGAGTTTGAGTCTTTTAACAGTTGTGTGTGTGTTAATGGGAAGAAGACAGTCACCTAAGAGCACTCAGGTCTTCCACAGTGAGTTGATTCAGGGCGACATTTTTGGATTCAACAGCAAACACCGCTTGGAAGACCTGAGTGCTCTTAGGTGACTGTCTTCTTCCCATTAACACACANTATATATATATATATATATGGCGCTGGGCCAGTGGTTTAAGAGAAGAAGGCTGCTTTTTTCCTCCAAATATTTAAAGGGCCAGTTCACTTAAATCACAAAACAGTATATTTCTCAAATGTAACAATTGTTATAATTTTTGATTATAAGGTCAAATATTTCCCTGATGACTTGCTTGGTCTATAAAATAGCATTCAATGACTTTCCCAATTCAAATTGTTAGTGTTTTTAGTCTAAAACACTAAACACAAAGGAAAACAGTTCCAATGAAGACTGATCAACAGTGAGACACAGAAATGTCTTGGCTGAGTTTATTAGATTCTCTAATTCCATTTACCTCCAATGTATAAGAGCAGAAGCAGAGACAAATGTCTGGAGGCTGGTTGAGCAAAACCAATACTATCTGAGGACTTGACAAGTTTTTTTTCACGAAGAGTTCTTTGCAAAGACTAGGAGTGGAGACCGACTCTGATAAATCGGTGTATTGACCTTGGAAAGGCCACTGCGTCTGCTCATCAGGGACAAGTCAACAAACAGTCTATAATAAGCAGAAAACAGTGACCTGTGACCACAGTCAGCAGCTGGCGAGAGAGAAAGCAGCAAATTGATATCTTTGTGAAGAAGGTTGTCAGGAAACCCAAAGCCAGAGTCGCCTCCTCTTCACAGACTTCCTGCCAAAGGGAAAGTCTGACAGGGAGAACAATCCTACAGTTAGCCTGTACTAGTTAATGTGTTGATATGTTACTGTGCATACATTGAGCTGGTCCCTTGCATGCTCCCCAAGTAATTTTTACACATTACATTTATTTTTGTATGAGCTATTCATATTTTCTTTAATATATGCTGCAGGAAGATTCTCCATAGGAACAACACATTTGAAATTAGATCAATACTTTTGCTTTTTGTGATTAATATGCTTGTTGGTGGCATCATTGACCAGCAGGATGTCACTACATCTACATTATTATTTTTACTCACAGGAAAGGGAAATGACATATATAAATGTCCCTTCTTTAGGACGAATAAAGGTATTCTAATTATGATTATATATATTTGTGTTATTAGTATGAGCCATTCTTTTCATCTCAACGCCTTGATAACACCCTCCCCTCAGTGGCAAAACAGTGTGAAATTAGTATCCTAAATGTTCACATTGCAGCCTTTTTTGCGGCTTGCATAAAATATGTGTCGAACCAGCCAGGTGCATATTTGAGGAGATACCATAAAGAGGTCAGAGCTTTCCCAGCAGTCAGTGGTTCAATAGGATTACCCCTCGGCTGCAGATTGGAGGCCCTGCAGCCACCAACATCTGGCCTGCGTTGATGATGCATATTGCCTGCAAAAATGCACCCGAGGCTGCAGGCGGCCACCAGGTGAATGACCTATCAGTCAAACAAACCGTGACCGACCAGCGGCCACCTACAGATCAGCAAGAAAAGCCCCGATAGTATGCTATTAACCTCACAAACCGGGTAAATATACTAATTTAGCTGTCCGTAGGTAGCAAACACACGTCGTAAATATATCAGATCCGTTAAAAATGGTGTTCACTCACCAGCGTCTGTGAAACTGCCGAAATCTGAAAAAAACAAAACATGAACCTTGATCCAAAAAGCTGAAAACCAGCAGCTCCTCTGTCCACACCGGGGTTTTCTCTCATGTGAAGAACATAGCGGCGAAGGTTTAAAGGTTTTTTAGTGTTTCAAAAGATACATAATTACACAACGTTTCGCAGCTGGTTCCCGATGTAACTTTGTACCGTGAGAAGTCGAGCTGTATCTAGCTACCGATGAGGCAGAGCAAACTGAGCTCTGATTGGTCAATGCACGTTCTGAATACTAAATCACGTCTGTTTGGGCGATTCCTATTGGTCGAGGTGTCAAAGGGCAATTCCGCTGCAAAGATAAACCCTTGCTTTTTTTCTTTTTCACACTCGAGGCTAAAATTACTTTACCTCATCGATCTGTGTGCTCTCAGTAAAAGCCCACAGGGGAAATTTAATCACAGAGTTTAGTTGAGGTTAACTCCACCTCATTTCATTTTGCCGCCTGTTTATTAGTACAACATTTGGCTAACTCTGTTCGAGTATGACATGGAACTTTATGATACATTGCGACCACTGTGGAGGGTATCTCTCATTTAATTTAGAAGCTCTATGCAGGAGTATACTGCTTTGTTTATGTGTGAATATGAGGATTGCTAGGTAGGTATAGGTCACTATAGTCTATAACCTCTGTACTGTTCAGACAGGGGGGCGATGGATGAGCTGGTGTTCCTTTATGCTGCTGCAAAAAAAACAATTTCCCAAATTGGGATCAATAAATTACCATCTTATCTTATATTCAACATTAACATCAGAACATCATGTGATGTCAACTCGCTTGCTTGCCAACCATGCCTTGTGATAAAAACCTTTAGACACATTTCAGCTGTTTACAGAACGAAAATATGTTTAGAAAAAGATAACAAGAAGAAAATAGAACTATCGCCCATGGTCGAAAAAACTGTTTATTACATAGCCGCACTAATAATACTCTCTGAACTTATGTTTAATACAGCTTGGAAAATCATACAACAGCCAAAAAATGCAGAAAACTGATGACTAACCTTGAGTCAGAAACCTAAAATACACAGGGTTAATAGCAGAGTGTCTCTGCATAAACATTATCTGAAGTGAAATACAAATTAGACCAGTCAGGTGCAAAACAACACTTCTGTGACTCACTGTCCAAAGACTGTACTTAAAAAAAAAGTGTGAATGTTGGATCTGCATGAAACAATCTTCTTCCATTCCTTAAGTGGCTCACCTTAATGTGAATAATTTAATTAGACATTTAAGTGTAATAAGCCAGGCTGCCATTGTGTCACCCTTAAGAAGGCATGTTGTTCAGTTCAAACTGGGATAAAAGCGGTACATGTAGAGGTCCAGTTCTAGCCATCCCTCTGGTTCTCTTCCTGTGGGGCGTTCTTGTGTCAGGACTGTTGAACGGCCTCCTCCATCTCTGCGTCTGCTGGAGCTGCGTTCTCCTGCTCCGGGTCGCCAGGTAGGACGTCTGCGACCGTGTGGATGAGCTCCTCGATCTGCTCCTCTGATAACCGCTCCTCACTCTCTTCCACCATCTGAACACAAACAGAAAGTTAAGTGTTTGATATTACACATTTTCAAAGGCTATGTAACCATTAACTTCAGCTGATTTGATTTGTGTCTATATTGGGCTGTTTTAAATGATTTTCATAAGCTCAAGTAAAAACATTATTTTAAACATATAGGTTTTTTAATTGTCATGGAGTGGTAGAAATGGACAAGAAGTGCTGTTCACATATTCGTGGTCATGACAGAATGTGTTTTTGATTTTTAACGAGCAATACTCGTTCGTAAGATCAGTTTATTGTCAGTTTGGGAATTTCATGAGATGTGTTTACAATAAGAAATACATGGAATATCACCACACTCATCCTTTAAGTATGATTTAATGACACCCTGCCTTGTTTCTACAACACTAAATGTGTAAGAATCATGGAAACGGACACCAGAGTGAAAAAAAGATAGAGGATGGTAGAGCAAAGTGTAATATTAATTGGTGAGAATGAAGTTAAACACTCACTAGCTGAATTTCCACCGCTGTCTGTGGTCGTTGGTTCAATAGCTGGAGCTTTTCTGCCCTGATTTGGGAAAATGTCAGTGAGTATATAGTGTTCTGAACAGTTCATACATACAGTACATTATGTGTTTATATAGGTTACATTTGAACTGAATCTATAAATCGTGCATCTTTCAGATCTCACTGACTTGGTGAGTTTGTGGGGCTTCATGGTGGTGAGGAACTCTTTGACGATCTCTGGATTCTGCCGGCTGCAGGGTGTCTTTGACAGGTACTTCAGCGTCTGTGTGCACATTTAGAGGAAACTGTCGGCATACTGTTTCAAAAGTGTGAAAGTGAAACATCAAGCAGGTTTAAGTGAGTTGAGAGAAGTTCAGGATGTGTGCCGACCTCATACATGATGGTGTTGAGGTTCTGCTGCCCAGCACTGTTTTTGTTCTTCACGGTGTCTTTCCTCTTTTCCTTCAGGTCTGTCAGGAGTTTGAACACCTAAAAAAATGCACAGATCGACAAAGCGATACTGAATTATTTTAATTTTATTGAAAGTAAACGGGAAAAATATTTCAAACGTTTCAAAAGTGAGACATAATACATTACCTCATAATTACTGAGCATAGCAGCGTTAGCGTTTTTACTGAAAAAATAAATAAATCATGTTAAATTAAAGAGGTTTATTTTGTACCTTTGTGAAACTTATACATAAAACAATAATCTAAGCTTTAAGGTTTTTGGAGATTTAAAACAGATCTCAGTCTTCACCTCGTCACTAAATGGAGAAAGTGAGCTGTGACAGAAAGCTACGAAAGTTGGATGGTAGACTTTGAGCTCAGATAATTCTGGTAAACATTAGAAAACTAATGAAGGTTAAATAAACAGGGAGTTGGGACACACACGGTAAAACAAAGAAGGCAAGGTGCACTTAAAAAATGTGATAGCTTGTTTAGTTTAATTAAACAAATTGTTGGGTATATTTAATAGAGTACATTTGGTGTTAAGGCAAACATACTTGAATGTTTATAATCATTATTTTCATTATCAATTTTAATTATTCAACTTTCTTTAATTCAGTAGTTAATTGTTAAGATTTTTAAATGTTAGAACAACTACACTCATTACAATTTCCGAAAGGGGACAAAGTGGCATCCAATGAAGTGTACAAAACCTTGAATCTTTTTAAAATGTGTATGACAACAATTGACTCCTGAATTGACTTCTGTGCTTTCTCACAATGTTCACAATCCCTTACTTACATTTGTGTATTCAGTCCTTTCAATGATAGCAAAAATAATAAACCCATCCAAGTTGTACAGCAATTTTTAACCAAGTGAAAATGATGGATTATTTAAAAATTAAATTAACGTACGATTGCTCTGGTGTTGCCTGAATCAGATTGTAACGTTACTAATGTTTTAGCTTATTTATTCACTTTAAGAGATTATCTAACTGTATTGTTATTTTAAAGTTAACAATCTCCTGTTTTTAGATTGACATAAGAGTGGCTTGAGAATATGTTTAAAAAACGGTTCAGTCTCTTTCCGTCAGCTCTATCAATAAATCAACCGGAAACTGAGACAAAGACTTCGCTGTTGTTCCTTAAACTCGGCTTCTGTTGCAATAAGCAATACATAGCTAGCAATCAGCAAAACACACTGTTAAAAAAAGACTTTTAAATAAAAACATTCTTACACTTCCATTTTGCCAGGCACTCAGCGTTGGTCCGTTTAAAAACACCGTCCGTGTAGAAACTGTTATCCAGGTCAAACGTTCCGCACAGCATCAAGCTGGCTTTAGTGTTGCACATTTTTTCTTAAATATACCAAGCCCTCCGTTACCTTGGTTTGGCATTTACTTAGTTGTACTTATTCCCATTCTTTGGCTACATTATTAAAGATAAAGATAACATTATACACTACTCTGATACATGTCAGGTGCAAATGTTGTTTATTTACTGTACATCATTTCTTTTTTGATATATTTATTTGCTCTGCAAAGGCAGAATACAAATATAAAAAAATCTATAATGAACTGACATTATGATGTATTTAATTAATTAATCTCCAATATCTCCAGTAGATCCAATACAAGTTTGTCCTGTGCTGCTTTCTCATTGTAATACAGGATGTGTGATACAAAATATGTGGGTTATCCTTTAATACAGACTCTAATGAAGACATGTCCAACGTTGTGGAGTAAACGGATATCCAAATGTAAAATAAAGCATACATTTATCAAAATATATCCCTGATATATACAGAAGCACAAACCAACAGGATTTATGGAGGAAGAGAGACCAACAGTCTTGTCCATCAAATGCAAAAAAGGGTTGAATAATAAATCTTTGATGCACGAAGCAAAAAATAGATCCTTTAATTTAGGACAATCATTCACACAAAAAACAACACAGATTTGTAGTAAAATTTGTTTTAAAACGTCATACATTACCAATAAACGAGAGATTTAATGAACATTTAAAATGTAATATTTTCTTTAAAAAAACCTAAAGACATAAAAAGGTAAAAAGTAGATCTTTGAGGCTGAAAACAACATTTGATTTTTTAAACAATCTGATCATTTATTTTATACATTACTGAATGGTGGTGACCAACTGAACGTTTAAATCAGTGCTCTCTGGTGGACAAACCAAGCAATGTTTTTAAACACTGTTTTTTCCCAGACATACTTCATCTTTGGCATTTTTTCTTATTAATTATTAAACTAACTTAAGTGTGCAGTGTGGATGCATTCATAATGATATGGCTGAGCAGTCACACCAGCCCAGGTGTCCAACACTCCTAATGATCCATTCCTCAAAACAGGAAATGGTTCTTCATGTCAAAGAGTGAGGTCCTAACTCAAACCATAAAATAAAACAAACTTAAATTCAGACACTTTTCTAATTCATATATGTCAACATCCAATGCAGCTCATAATTAAGATCAATCCCTGTATGAACATTCAAAATGGCCTAGTTTACCGAACTGAACAACCCGGCAACCTTCTGCCCCCAAAGAGTATTTAAAACAGATCATCTCAACTCAATACACATACTATTAACAGACTGCTTTAAGAATCGCACTCGGTACAAAATATATAGTAAAAATTAAATATCCTCAAAAACAAGCGGCGACAACATGTGGTAAAATTGGAGAAACCATATTTACCTTTATTGTTAAAATGAAGTTGTTTGAGATCTTTATCCCAATCTCTGCACCCCTTTGTGACAGACAACGATAAGTCTCCTTAAAAAATGAAAACAGATAGTTTTTTTTGCACACAACTTGAACCGTTTGCACTGAATCATTGGTCAGCTGGGTTACTGTCGGTGTCGCTCAATCAATTTCAAATGTCCATTGGGACAGGTTCATCCATCTGAGAGAAGAACTCAAAGAACTTCTTCAAACCCTCGTCATTACAGATCTGTGGGTCGTTGACTCTGTTTTTAAATGCGATGATATTTCTGCCCTCAACCAGTTTCTTCAAATTGCTCATCACCCTTTGCTGATGAGCATGATCACAATCCAGGTATTCCTTCAAAACATCGAACCTGTCTCTTTGCACCATTTGGATAACAATGTGTTCCGTAATATCGGACAAAGGATAGCCATACTCTATGACACTCTGGATTTCCTTTTCTGCATAGACAAACCCGCCTGAATGCATTGCAACAACATTGCAGTGTTCGTCAAAGACAGGAGAGCCAGATGAGCCAAAATAAAAACAGGACTCGTATAGTAGAGTGTTTTGCTGTTGTCTGATAGATTCTTTCACACCATCAAAGAACTGGTTAGTAAACAACTGAAGTTGCCCTTCACTGTTTGTAAAACCATCCTCTGGATTTAGTTGTTGATGCCTCTCCACAACCTGATTTAGGCCTTCTCTTGGAACAATCAAGCATGGATCTATCTTTTTCACTGTTTCTGGATGCCCGATGATGCAGATTCCACCCCTTTGGGGAAGGAAACTGACATGTTTTAACAGAACATCAGGCAACTCCTGGTCAGCACAGAGCCTCAACAAAGCCCAGTCATACATATGCCCTGAAACATCACAACCGAACTCATAGCCAACAACCTCCTCCTCCACTGCTGCTCCTGGATCCACTTGATCAAGACTTTCAAAAGAGAAGTGGACAGTGACTTTCTCAGTCAGCTGCCTTTCACTCTCATTATAAATGCTCTTAATTACATGGCCATTTGTGAGGACAAACTTGCCAAACAGGAGGAAGCCACTTCCCCCTGATCTACCATTTATTCTCACATGGCAAACCGAATTACTCAGATCCATTAGTTTTTTCATTGTTTTCACTTCGTTGCATGTCTGCACATTTTTTCCATAATCTACACGGAAGAGTCTCTGGATCCGAGAAAGCGGAGTTTGCTTCTGAGTTTGCTTCTGAGTTTTCTTAACTTTAACCGCTTGTTGGAACTCTGCAAGTAGGCGACCCTTCATCTCCTTTGAATTAGGTATCTCACGTAACATGCTTCCTGGTGCCATGTTACCATTTAGCGTTGGTTTCTGGTTTGGTGTGTTTTCATTCAGGGAGTCATTTGTGGTAGACTGCTTTGGAGGAGCTTGGTCTCCACTGGGAACAATGATCCGAGGTTCATTTTGCAAGTCATCAAGTTCAAGACTCTCAGGCAGACTTTCTGGTGGATTCTTCCTATTGAGGAGTATGATCTTAAAACTTTTACCATCAAGATCGTCCACCAGGCTGGACATTTCAGTGATTACTTCATTGCTTGTGTGAGAGAGCACACAGTTCTTTGTGAACACAATATCCAGTAAACGACCATCTCTTCTCAGAGCTTGCTTCACCTTTTCATCTTTGTACCCATAAACAGTAATTTCCGGAATTTTTGTCAGTGTGCTGTTTCTCATGATATTAACCACATCTTTACCTCCCTTAGTCTGTAAATGAAACATCACATGCTCGCTAGACCGCCGCTTTCTTTTGCGTTGAACAGAGTCATTAACCGGTTGCTTGGCATTTTTAACAGCTTTAGCTTTAACAGCTTTAACATACTTAACAGTCAGTCGTTCATTGTTCTTAATTAAGCAGCATGGGAAGTGGGAACTGATGGCTTTTCCATCTTTCATAATAACCAGCTCTTTGTTTAGGTTATTTTCTGAGATGTCTCTAAATTGTGAACTTCTTTGGAGNTATATATATATATATATATATATATATATATTATTGGGCTCTGCACTGGCCTAATTCTCTGCAAACTACAAGTGGCTTAATCTCTGCATGGAAAGGCATTAGAGTTGCATGCAAAGCTTGGGGATACCAGTGGACTAATCATGGCTTAGGCAGCACCTCAGCATCCCAGGCAGGATATGATCTCCTCAGTTCCAGTTGCTTCTTTATTTTTCTTGCTTTGATCATCAGACATTTAACAGGAAAGCTTCTCCCGCCTAGGGAGAGGAGGATTCCCCACGTGGGATCCAGATGTTTTCAGCTCCCTGCACATTCTGTCAGAACAAGACCCGAATCAAAACACTTCTGAGAAAGGGAGACATATTTAATATTTCTTAGAGCTTCTGTAAGAAGTAAAACAACAGTTTGAGTTTCAGAGCTGTAATGTTGCTCTAAAGTGATTCAAAAACGATAATGAAATCACCATCATAAGTGATATTATAAGTTATTGAATAATCATTTGCATTCTCTTATTGTTGCAATTGTGTGTGTTGTATTTTCTTATGTGCTAATGAGGGGAATTACCAGTAGATGTTGGGGAAACTGCTTGTGGGCGCATTGCAGAAGCAGAACAGGGAAGATGCACATGCAATAATAATCTAATTTAATTTAGCTTTTAGTGCGACAGGAAGTGTCAGGGAGAATACAAACATGAAGAAGCTGTAATTAGTGGATTCAGATACACTGTCTGAGAATGTGTTTGTGCTGCATGCCGTAATGAACTTTGATACAGCTTAACGGTCAATGGCTCCCAGAGGAAAGATGCAAAATAGCTGCTTTGAGAGCAAGAGCTGGATTCAGCCACTCTGAAAGGGAGTACTGGCAAAGAAGACAGCAGCCACCATCACACCCTGCGTGTTGATAACAACTCAGTCGTGCAGAGCGGTGAATAATATAAGGAGTTACTCATTTGTTTCTCAGCAAGTTGAGAAACCATGCATGTAAACAAATCTCATCTAATACTGCACAGGGCAGCAACTTATTCTATTTAGAGATGAGTTGTTTCTGTTTATAAAATGTCAGAAAATGATGCAAGATGATGACCAGTGCCTCCCAAATCCCAAAATGATGTATTGTCTTGTCCAAACCCCAGTGTGTGTCATAGAGGAGTAAAGAAACCAAAGGATAGTCACATTTTGGAAACTGGAATTGATTCATCTGTTCAGCTTTGCTGATTCTGCAACTCTTGTTTTTTCTGTTTTAGGTAGGAGCGATGGATAAGAGACGTGGTTGGCTGTGGAGCGCGGCAGGCCTGGATCCTGCTCACCAACACCAGGGCTGAGGAGCTGCAGAGGGGAGGAGACTCCCCCCTCTGCCTCATCTCAGCTGTCTTTCACACACTCATCTTCATTATCCAGTCTGACAGTGTGTAAACTAAGTCTTGACTTGACATTTGCTGAGTTTTGAGAGGCAGCTACGTCCACTTCTGCCTCCTCAGGGGCCCCTGGACATCGTTGTATGCCCCCCTGAATCTGAGCCATGAGGAACAGATCGAGCCTGCTGCTGGGCTGCGTGCTCCTCTGCTCCGCCTCCCTGCTCTACCTGGGGATGAGCGGGATAGAGTGTCCCCCCAAAAGCCATCGGTACCGGTGGATGGAGCTGAACCTGGGCTCAGCCAATCACAGCTCATCCCTGACCGAACATTTCCCAGAAGACACGCCCCTCATCTTCATCGGAGGCTTTCCCAGGAGCGGCACCACTCTGATGCGTGTCATGCTGGACGCCCACAATGCAGTGCGGTGCGGGGAAGAGACCCGAGTGATTCCCCGCCTCCTGGCCATGCGGGCCACCTGGAGCCGCTCGGTGAAGGAGAGGATCCGATTGGACGAGGCCGGCGTCACCGACCAGGTGTTAGATTCAGCCGTCAGAGCATTCCTGTTAGAGGTGAGCCGGTCGCTGCACCTCACAGCATCTGTTGTCTGCAAACAAGTTGGGGTGTAGAAAGCATGCTTCATCTTTAGGGTGATTTCTTTAAACACAAAAAGAATTCACTCTTATTTTTTTGTATTTCTCGGAAAAGAGTCTTTGAACACTGGGAAAAGCGTTATATAATAGTATGTATTATTATTTATTTTCTTGTGAATCATTTGGACTATAACATTTCTTTAGGTGAAAAAAATGCTTTTTATAATTTCCTTGTGTTGTGATGTCTTAAAATGCTTTATTTGTGTTTGTTTGACGGTTCGAACCCTCCAAAAACATTCATTGCATACATTTTTGCTTGAATAACAATTATTTATTGACTTGACTGAATTGTTAGTTTTTCTCCCCATTTTGTGCGCTTTTTGTTGTCATACATTTTTTGTTGTTGTGTTTTTCTAGACTATATTAGGTCAGTTTTCTTTCTCCTTTTTTGTTACTGTTTGTTTTTCTCTTGAAGGAGAGGGGTGGTTTCCAGTTACATTTCACATTTGTCATAATCTGAGTTGCAGGTACCCTTATGTGTGTACAAATAAAATAATTATAACTTAAACACCAATAATCCTTTTTCATGTGTTTCAGGTGATAGTTGGCCACGGGGAGCCTGCACCTCGCCTCTGCAACAAGGACCCGTTCGCCTTGAAATCTCTCTCGTATCTGTCACGCATCTTCCCCAAAGCCAAGTTTGTGCTCATGCTACGAGACGGGCGGGCTACCGTCCATTCCATGATATCACGCAAGGTATGCTGGGTGTTAGAAAAATATCACTCGTCACCGGCTTGAGCTTCAATAATCAGGATACATGTATTTATTATCCTTGCAAGAATGGAAGTAGTCATCACATACAGAGCATATGGGACAACTCGTTCCTGAACAGTGTCCTTCCTATGCTGATATACAAGAGAGGGTTACAGTCACAAGATGGAGGAATACCGGTTCAAAGCAGTATACAATGTTTAGTTTAGATTAGCTAAGACCCACGTCAGAAATGGTCATGCTTGTCATATGTCTCTCTCCATAGAGGCTGAATCATCATGTTAATCACATAGCTATCATATGCCTAAAACAGTCCTGACGCTCTTCCAGGTAATCATACATCCTGTCATGTACGCAGTTACAGTTGGGCCTTTGTTATCATGTGCTACCCTGATATTGAAAGAGTACATTCTGTATTTTCCCAACACCGGGTATCTTTCTTTTACTAGGCTGGCTGGCTGGCTGGCTGGCTGGCTGGCTGACAAACTTCCTCATGTTTCCACACAGCCACTTGAAAAACATGTACTGCTTGCACATTGCAACATTTTCCATCCTGTGTTTGTTATTCGTTGTGATAAGTCTAGTTTGTTTATCACATCTCTACCTCCACACAGGTGACTATCTCAGGCTTCGACCTGACCAGCTACAGGGACTGTCTGACCAAGTGGAGCAGCGCCATGGAGACCATGTTCAGCCAGTGCATGGCGGCCGGGGAGTCCAGATGTCTGCCCGTCCACTACGAGCAGCTCGTCCTCCACTCAGAGGAGGAAATGAGGAAGTTGCTTCACTTCCTGGAGCTGCAGTGGGACCCGTCAGTGCTGCACCATGAAGAGCTGATAGGGAAGGCTGGGGGCGTGTCTCTGTCCAAGTGAGTATGTGAAATGTGTGTACAGTTAGTCAGCTCAAGTGGTATCTGACCATGCAGATCCTTTTAGTTTCAAGTGCTCATATTTACTGGAAAGGCATGCTATTACTCAAATGTAAAAGCGGATGTAAGGCTTGGATGTCAACGGTAGAAAAAAAGCACAGATCTTCACCCGTCTGTGTTTTTCATTCGGCATTATTATTCCACCTGCATATTCCCACCCTGTTGCTTTGAGATATATTTCAGTCCAAGGGTGTCAGTCTTTTCTTACAGGCTGCTGTCCTTTTCACATCTCACACCTCTTTCCATCTTCAGCCTCGGTCCCTGTCGACTGTATAGAAAGAAACTCATTGGTTCCGTATTGTTGATGATTTTAAAAGCCAACCACAGCATCATTTAAGATAAGATAAGATAAGACTTTATTCATCCCGAAGGAAATTGTTGTGCCAGAGTAACAAAATACAATAAACACAATAAACACAGCAGCAAAACTGTACACTAAAAGTGCAGCAAAAAGAACAATTAAACATCCACAGACAACATGAAATGTAGAAACATAGAAACATAGATGGTCACACAATCAATGCAATGATTATTAAAAGTAGTTAGTAGTGTAAAAAATAAAACGTAGTGGCAGTTACGTAATTGCACGTTATCATAGCATTATTAATAATACTAATAATAATAATATAATATTGCACATAGTTATATATAGCAGAGAGTGTATTGCAATGATGTTAATTATATTAATATGTATATTGCACATAGTGTTGATGTGGAAGTTCTCAGTGCCCTTTACTTAGGGGTGAAGAGTTAAAGAGTTTGATGGCCACTGGGAGGAAAGACCTCCTGTGGCGCTGTGTGGTGGTTATCGGTGATATCAGTCTATGGCTGAAAGTGCTCCGGTAGGAAACCAGTGTGGTATGCAGGGGGTGAGACCCGTTGTCCAGAATGCTGAGAAGTTTCCTCAGCATTCTCCCCTCCGACACCACTGCCAACGACTCCTGATCCACTCCCAGGACAGAGCCTGCTCTCCTGATGAGCTTGTTAGCTGCTAGAAATATCTTCATGTGACTTTATATCATGTATAACTGGATAGCTGTCATTTAAAGAATACAAATAACATCACTTCAAAGGGGTCAGAGCCAGAAATGTAAAATACTTAAAAAACGTAAAAAATTCCCCCATTGCAGTTTTGCCCTCCTTAGAAATGTTAAATAAACCTTCTGAAAACAAAATAAATTGAAAGTAATGTTTTGAGGAAAATATTTTAAATATGTATGTTTTTATAAATGCTGTTTAAAAACCTTCCCCACTGTTTCACATATATAATTGTGGAACAGCAATTAAACAGATTATTAGCCATAAAAATAAAAAGGAAAATATGTGTGTCATCGAAGGATATACTCCAACTTATTTCAATCAACCAATTTCCACAAATATTACAGAGATCAGAACTCAATGACCTGCACCTACAGAGCCCATCATTTCTTGTTATTTAAGTATATTAAGATGTTTTTTCTTGAAAGAATTCAGGTGCAGCACACATTGAGAGACAGCTTTTGAACACTAACAACTCATATTGTCCTCTGAGCCAGTGGGAAGTCTGCTTAGAGCCAGAGATTTCATCTGAAGCAGCCAAACCTCTCAGGGCCAAGTGAAGCTTCCAGACTCCCCTCCGTAGAAGTTTAATCTGTGTTGCTCCACTTATTTGTCGCGATTCAAGTTGAGCATCTCGTTGCAGAAGCTCAGGGGATTTGGTGGAAAATGTGTCCGCTTCAAACCTGCTAAAAACCCAAACCTGGCATGTATTTGAAGGAATTAGGCCACATTCTGAGGGAATTAGCACCCTTATTTTGACGAGTTATGCAACTGTTGGCGCAATATTAGTCATAAGAATGTTTTATAACATCCTCAGAAATGTGACATGTTGTGGTTCTGAATCATGTATGTATATGCTAATGAACACATCTATTTACTTAAGGTGGTGGGAAGAGATTAAATGGCAATTAAATAAAGCATAAAACACATTTTTATATTGTTGTATAATCTTTATATGAAGGCATTTACAGTGTCATAAATAAATGAAAAGACGTTTTATGTAATTTGTTGTATTGACGTTCACTATGTGCAATTGCATACATAAATAAAACATGTAGCACTCTTAAGTAGCTTATGACAAGGACCATTAAAGTCGCAGCATTCCAGTCGAACACACACTAACAGACTGACCTTGTGTTTGTGTGCAGGGTCGAGCGCTCCACAGACCAGGTGATAAAGCCGGTGAACACAGACGCCCTCTCCAAGTGGGTCGGGCACATTCCCTCCGACGTGATCAGCGACATGGCTGAGATCGCCCCCATGCTGGCTCGCCTCGGTTACAATCCCCACGACAACCCACCCGACTACACCAAGCCAGAGCCCATTGTGTCTCCGCTCAACCACTCACAGGTGAGCTTTAAAAAAAACTGTTTAAACAACAGTATCACGGCTCAATTAAAAAATTAATTATAAACATTTTTTTTTTACTGAAAACTACTGACTTTTTAATGATTTTAATAGGTTATTTAATCTGACTTGCGATAAAAGCCCATTTAAATGTAAATGTGATTTGCTATTTCGAAATTAAATGATTCGATATTATCGTTGATTGATCTACTATGTGGTTTCGGCACCATTTGACAGGAATTGTATTTAATATTTGTTTGGAATTATTTTTGTTGAGAAGTAGTTGAACCATAAATATACATTAATGTGGATAACACTGAAAAGATTGCGAAAGAGAAACACTGAGAATTTTAAGACTTAAGAAATGGACTTTACAATTTTCACCCATTGATATCACAGCAACACAACACTGATATGCATCATACACGACCACGCTGTACGCTGCTGGAGTTCGACCCCTTTAACACAAAAACATAATTTCCCAATCAGCTGTCGTGGCCTCCAGTCATGCAGACCTTATTTTTTTAACAGCTGTCAAAATGAATCAAAGCTCCAATCGTACTCTTTTGCTCTACTGCTCCTCTTCTCCTACTTTTCACCCTTGAAAATATTTCCATTCATAAGTGAACATTGTGTCTTTCTTTTCTTAGAATTTGAAAGCAACAGAGAATCCACATCCCAGTTAAGCTTTCCAAGGAACATCCCTGAAATCCAGACTCCCTGTTCCACTCTATGGATGCACCTTAAAGACAGACTTCTCATTCAGCAGTAATTAAACCTCAAAGGACAGATGTTAAAAGTATTTCATGTGTATTTTTGAATAGTTTTTAAGACTTATGTCTGGTGTACATGTCTGAATGCGGATAGGAGTGTTATAAACACGACCTCACACAGTGGTTTGTGTTTTATATCCCATGTGGATTAGCTTCTGGAAGAAGTTTCTCACTTTCCAACATGTCCGATTCAACAGTATTACACTGCAATGACGCGTCCTCTCACCTTGTAACTGAAAGTATTTCAACATGTCTGTAGAGTTGTTTAATTCACCACAAATGTGAATGTGTCTTTAGAAGAATCTTTCACTTACTGAGAGCTCAGTCAGGGTTCATGAAGCATAATGACTGTATATTTTTGAAGACGTATGTTTATTTTCTTAATAAATTATTTTGGTGTTGACAATTCATTCAGGACCTTAATGTTGATTTATCTGAATTGAGGGTTTTTTGATTGTTGTAAATTGTTCAACATGAATAAAAAAAGTGTCTTAATGTCACCTTTAATAACGTTCTTCATGTATTTTGTTGACAAGTTGTTAAGGTACCAACTAAGGACACATTTTTGGAAAAATAAAATAAATATATTTTATTTGTTGTTAAGCACGATGTTACGCCCGCTTTTGAGGTGCTTGAGAATAAATATTATTACAGACATAATCTATAATACTGGATGAGCATGCTGACAGTAAACCGAGCCACAGCGCCCACTGGTGGAGCGAACACAGCCCAAAAATACCCTTTTTGCCAAGTTTTCTTTTATAGAGACAACATATTCTAGAGCTAGACCAAACACATGACATGTCTGTCTTTATGGTTTAGTAGGAATATGAATATTAACACTAATAACATTCAAGTGAAATGGCACACTTTTCAAATAAAACCCTGAGATAGAGGGTTAAATAAAAATATAAAATCAAATAATAGTTTAAACTAAACTTGTATAACCATGTGATTAGACCACAATGAGCTACAACTGATGCAAGGTTTAACAATGGACTGAGGTAATAAAGTGCAGCTATACTCAGACTATAAAGGCAAACATACATCAGAGTGCTGCTGTGAAAAACACTTACAGACATAACAAATTACGCAGTGTGGTCTACTATTCAACAACAACTTTTCAAACATATCAACATTTCTATAATAAGATAACCAAAATCATTCCTAATTCCAATTTGATTCTTAAAAATTAATTCAAAACAAACTGATTATAGGGTTAAAGTGAAATGTGACCTCTATGAGGCAGGCCTCTGTTCCTGCTCATCTGTGGATGTGAACATGGCAGCCACCGTGTTTTGTTGGTCGGTTGGCGAACGGGGCAGGATGCGGTGAACTGGAGGGGGCGGGGCTTCTGATCTGCAGCTGATCATGTACAGTAAACACCTGGAGAACTGAGAGAAACACAGAGGAGGTGGAGGCAGCATGAAACTGATGCACCTTTGGCTGAATAAAAAACAATCTTATTTAGAAGAAGGGCAGGGGAGGGAGAAGTACTCAGATCTTGTACTTAAGTAAAAGTAGAAGTACAAGAGTAGGAATACTCTGTTACAAGTAAAAGTCCTGAATTCAAAATGTTAAGTAAAAGTGCAAAAGTATAAGCACCAAAATATACTTAAAGTACAAAAAGCAAAAGTACTCATTATCCAAATTGGCCCATTTTAAAATAATATATTTTGTATCTTTTTATTATAATTATTGATGAAGTAATGTGTATATCAAAGCTAGTAAAGGTGCAGTCTTATTTACTTTGTATGCTGCAGGGTAGCTTGTGAATGTTAATCCAAGTGTACCTTATTTGATTATATTTTTATTGATTTTATTTTTATTTTTTTATATATATATATCAGGAATTGAAATCTGCAAAGTAACTAAAGATATTAAATTATGTAACGGAGTAAAAGGTACGTGATTTACCTCTGAATTGTAGCGGGGTAGCAGTACAGAGTAGAACACAATTGAAATACTCAAGTAAAGTACAAGTCTCTCATAATTGTGCTTGTGTGATGACAGTGTTAGGGATGTTTACAGGAAGGAGTTGTTACCTGGTTGTTGAGCAGCACATATATTACCGGGTTGATGACGGTGCTGGTCTTTGCCAGCAGGGATGGTATTAAAGTGGCGGCAGGCGACACCCCTCCCGGCCGCCCAAATGAGGCGAGCATTGCCACAACGCCATATGGCATCCAACACAATATGTAGCCTGTCACCATGGAAACCACCATTAAAAGGACACGGCCTTCCCTCCGCTCAGCTGAGGGCCGGTTGATCCTGCTGACCTGGAGACACAGTGATTATGAGATGTTGGGCCCTAACACACTAGTAGTAGTAGTAGTAGTAGAACCTTTATTTATCCAGGAAAATCAATTAAGAACAAATTCTTATTTACAATGATGACCTGACAGGAGGCAAAGGCCTCCTGAGGGGATGGGGTTTGGGAGGAAAACATTTTTAAATACAGACTCCGGGCACTACAGAACCCAGGAGACAACACAAACACATAGAGCAAAGATGACAGGCATAGCAGTTAAACATATAAAAACTCTAAAAAAATATTGCTGTGGTTCAATCAGTCATTAAAATCAGCATCAGGCAAAGCAGCCACATGTGTGTACCAGGGTGTCTATAATAGTGACTGTAACGACGAGACGCAGTTACTAGAGCTCTCGTGAACATGTTTATATAATTTATTGATGTAGTATTTATTTGGTATAAGTGTTCACCCCCATCTTGTCTGTTGCTTCCGGTCGTCTCTGTGTTCCCTCCTACTGATTACCCAATTGTGTTCACCTGGTGCCCTGTGTTTGCTCCTCCCCCCTCACCTGTGTCTAATTGCTCCCCCCTCACCTTTGTCTTGTTAGTCTGTGTATTTAAGTGCTGTTTCTTGTTGGGTGTGAGTGTGTGTGTGAGATCCTGGTGGCTGCAGGCTGGGCTCGCGTGAACAGCAGCAGGATTGAGGCTGTGTGAACTTTGTACACATTGTTTTAATAAATGCCCACGTCGGGTTATATTTTTGGACGTTCTGCCTCTGCCTCCTTGCTTTGTCGGGCCGCTCAACGGTCAGTCTCACAAATGGTGTCAGAAGTGGGATTCGACCAAGTGAGGAGGTGACAATGACGAGAGGAAAGAAGAGGGACCAAGGAGAGGAACCGCGGCTGGGGTTGGCTATGCCTGGAACTGACCAGGGGGCCACGGCTGCTGAAGCAGCAGGAGAAGAGAGACAAGCAGGAGGAGACGAGAGACAAGGAGGAGAAGCTAACGGAGACAAGGAGGAGAAGCTAACGGAGACAAGGAGGAGAAGCTAACGGACCCCCGAGGAGTCGACAGAACCAAGGGAGGGATATATTAGGTCCATAGCCTCAAGGGAGGGATCTAGTGTGTCCATGGCCTCAAGGGAGGGATATATTAGGTCCATAGCCTCAGGGGAGGGATCTGGTGTGTCCATGGCCTCAGGGGAGGGATCTATTCTGTCCATATCCTCAGGGGAGGGATCTATTCTGTCCGTTTAGAAAGCCAAGACTGTCTCCGGGTACTGTGCGCTTTAGGAGAAAAGGGGGGGAATGTAACGACGAGACGCCGTCACTAGAGCTCTCGTGAACATGTTTATATAATTTATTGATGTAGTATTTATTTGGTATAAGTGTTCACCCCCATCTTGTCTGTTGCTTCCGGTCGTCTCTGTGTTCCCTCCTACTGATTACCCAATTGTGTTCACCTGGTGCCCTGTGTTTGCTCCCCCCCGTCACCTGTGTCTAATTGCTCCCCCTCACCTGTGTCTTGTTAGTGTCTGTGTATTTAAGTGCTGTTTCTTGTAGAGTGGGAGTGTGTGTGAGATCCTGGTGGCTGCAGGCTGGGCTCGCGTGAACAGCAGCAGGATTGAGGCTGTGTGTGAACTTTGTACACATTGTTTGTTTTAACATTGGGTTATTTTTTTGGACGTTCTGCCTCTGCCTCCCTGCTTGGTCGGGCCGCTCAATGGTCAGTCTCACAATTGGTGTCAGAAGTGTGATTCGACCAAGTGAGGAGGTGACAATGACGAGAGGAAAGAAGAGGGACCAAGGAGAGGAACCGCGGCTGGGCCACGGCTGCTGAAGCAGCAGGAGAAGAGAGACAAGCAGGAGGAGACGAGAGACAAGAAGGAGAAGCTAACGGACGAGCTAACGGACGAGCTAACGGAGACAAAGAGGAGAAGCTAACGGACGAGCTAACGGACCCCCGAGGAGTCAACAGAACCAGGGGAGGGATATATTAGGTCCATAGCCTCAAGGGAGGGATCTGGTGTGTCCATGGCCTCAGGGGAGGGATTTATTCTGTCCATAGCCTCAGGGGAGGGATCTATTCTGTCCGTTTTAGAAAGCCAAGACTGTCTATCCCGGGCACTGTGCGCTTTAGGAGAAAAGGGGGGGAATGTAACGACGAGACGCCGTTACTATAGCTCTCGTGAACATGTTTATATAATTTATTGATGTAGTATTTATTTGGTATAAGTGTTCACCCCCATCTTGTCTGTTGCTTCCGGTCGTCTCTGTGTTCCCTCCTACTGATTACCCAATTGTGTTCACCTGGTGCCCTGTGTTGCTCCTCCCCCCTCACCTGTGTCTAATTGCCCCCCCCCCTCACCTGTGTCTTGTTAGTCTGTGTATTTAAGTGCTGTTTCTTGTTGGGTGTGTGTGTGTGAGATCCTGGTGGCTGCAGGCTGGGCTCGCGTGAACAGCAGCAGGATTGAGGCTGTGTGTGAATTTTGTGCACATTGTTTTAATAAATGCCCACGTCGGGTTATATTTTTCGACGTTCTGCCGCCTTGCTTGGTCGGGCCGCTCAACGGTCAGTCTCACAGTGACATTGAAGGTGCGGGGGGAGACCAAGGTTTTCATTTTCAACGTTTTTTGAATGATATTCCAGCTATCTGCTGCTGCAAATTGAAAGGCGGAGCGGCCAAAGGATGTATGGGCTTTGGGGATCTTTAGCAGGATGCTTGTAGCTGACTGGGTATTGTGCGTCGGGGTGGGCGGAGTTGCAGTAATTGTGTGAGGTAGAAGGGGGTGAGACCTAGGAGTGTTTTGTAAACAAGCATCAGTCAGTGGATGTTGCACCTGGTCTCAAGAGAGGGCCAGAGAGTACAGGTCACAGTGGTGTGGTGTGTCCTGTAGGGGGCATTGGTGGCGAAGCGATACAGAACGTCTAAATGATCGAGAGCTCCTTTACACGCCGAGCGGTAGATGGTATCGCCGTAGTCGAACAGAGGAAGGACAGCCATCTGGACCAGAGAGAGTTTAGCAGATGAAGTGAATGAGGAGCGATTCCTATATAGAAAGCTGAGTCTAGCTTTAACCTTGGTCTGAATTTGGAGAGATGTTCTGAGAATGACAGATTACTGTCAATCCAAAATCCAAGGTATTTATAAGATTTAACTATTTCGAGGTCCCGGCCATCCGCGGTCACAATAGTGCCAGTTTGGGAGGCACCACTGCGGCCAAACCACATGATCTTGGTTTTAGTGGTGTTCAGGACGGGCAGAGAGATGTGACTGGATTCTCTGAAAACTATCTTGAGGAGTTTTCGGGGCAGTATCTGGGGAAGGGCCAGCAGTGTACAGAATCGTGTCATCGGCATATAGGTGGATAGAGGAGTTGCCCACTGATTTCTCCATGTCATTTATATATATTGAGAATAGGATGGGTGCTAGGATAGAGCCTTGTGGTACTCCCTTAGAGATGGATAGGGGCTGTGTCATCAGATTTTCCGATTTTACACACTGGGTGCGCATGGACAGGTAGTTTTCAAACCAGGCTATCGATTGGTTAGTGACACCAATGCATCTAAGCTTTCCCAGAAGCAGTTGGTGATCTACAGTGTCGAAGGCTTTGGCAAGATCGATGAAAATGGCAGCACAGTATTGTCTGGAGTCAAGGGCATTGATGATATCATTTAGGACTTTGAGAGTCGCCGTCTCACACCATGACCTGCACGGAACCCAGACTGCATGTCAGATAGTATGTTGTAAGTCATCAGAAACCATGTTAGCTGTTTGCAAACTAACTTTTCGAACACTTTCGCTATACAGGGTAGAATGGATATTGGACGATAGCAGTTGGGGTCAGCATGGTTTCCCTCTTTAAACAAAGGTTGCACTGAGGCTGCCTTCCAGGCAGAAGGTAGCACTGCTGTCTGTATGGACAGATTACAAAGGTGGGAGATAGCTTCTGCAATAATGTGGGCTGCAACTTTAAAAAAGAAGGGGTCTAGCCCATCAAGACCTGCAGGTTTGTTGGGTCAAGTTTGCTAAGGACCTCCAGCACACATCGTTTCACTAACTTCCTGTAGGCAGAAGCTGTGACATGGCGGACTGCGCTAGAGGGCTGCGTGGACGGAGTGTTGGGCTGGGCAACAACTGGGGCTTAGGAGGCGCTAATAAGAGTCAAATAGGTCCCACATTTAACATTTAAGTGCTGGTAAGAGCTCTGCTATGCGTTCATTACCGGGTGACTACTGTGCCTCAATAACGAGGGAGTTAGGGAGCATGAGCCAGGAGCATGGGGGGTTTATTCTCCCATCTCTTTCACTGTTTTCCAGAAGTGCCTTGGATTGGATCCACAGAGGTTGAATGGATATTATGGAAAGTAATTCAACCTTGGCTCTTGCGGATAGCCTGTATAGATTTATTCTATTTTTCCTGAATGATTATCCAATCGTCGTGGGATTTGAGTCGATGAGGCCCTGCGCCAGGTGGAGTTCTTGAGTGAAGCAAGTTTCAGCTAAATCTCGGTTTGAACCAAAGGACTGCATCGGTTTTTTATCCTCATTTTTTTGTTATGGCAGCATTGCTGTTTTATTGATTACCATACTAAAGATAGTCATAAAAGAAGGACCATGCAGCATCGATGTCAGGGATCAAAGCTAATCTGTCCCACTTTGATAGCAGCCAGTCGTAAAGAAGGCTTGTTCGTCGAAAATGTTTCAGTATTCGTTCCTCTGAGTGGTAAGAACGGCTGTTTAAATTTTTGCGGCCCATTACGAATGCAGCCAATAAGACACGGTCACTGAGATCGCTACAGAAGGACGCCAGTTTTGTACCTGTCACAGGGTTATTAGTGAGGATGACATCAAGGAGTGGGCTTTTTTTCTGGATTTTTTGGGTCATACCGTGTAGGAGTAAGGATAATCTGCGAGAGATTAAGAGAGTGAAGAATAAACATATCGATTAGTTCAGTAGTTTGAGTGAGTCTAATCTGACGGCAGAGAGAGTCAGCGCTGCTGACGGGTCGAAGATCCAGTCAGCACAAACTCAGAATGAGTGTGGGGTGCCAGGAGGGTGCTGAGAGCAGGTAGGGTACATGCTGGGGCAGAGGGCGATAGCAGCCAGCGACTGTCAGTGTAGAGTTATTTGCCAGTTTAATGGTTACGATAACTAGGTCAAATTGTTTGGGGACAGATTTACTAGTGGCGATAGAACACTGGAGGTGTTGCTTTGTGAATATAACTACTCCACCAGCTTTAGATGATCTATCCTGCCTAAACACATTATAACCAGTGATGCCGATGTCAGAGTCTGGGATATTCTTCTTCAGCCAAGACTCAGTGATGACAAGTACCTCCGGATTTGAGCTGTGAACGACTACTTTTATCTGGTCAATTTTTGGCAGTAAGTTTTACATATAGCTTTACGATAGCAGAAGTCAGGGAAACTCAGATCATTGTGACAAAAATGTACATCAGGGCACAGGTCAGAACTAGGGCTGCATACAATAGAAGGTCCAGGATGAACATGCACATTGCCCGATATCATCAGTAGTAATGCAATCAGGGCACGGCCAAGAGCTAGCAGTGAGTCACAATGCCTAGTTTGTTTTGTGCGCACAATGACAGTGGAATGTAGCGTAATCATCTTGTGTAGAGACCTCATAATCACACAAGATAGTAGTGGCATGGTGTCAGAGTTTATGTTTGGCGTTAGCCCAAGGAACCTGAATATCAGCAACGAGTCATAGTCTCTGCCTACTGTATGGATACAGTTTGTTATGCAGGTGGGCAGCACTGCTGATGTTAAGTGCGTCGGTTCGCATTTGTTATGTGCAGGAGGGGGTGGGGAGGCAGCTCTCTACAGGAGTTCACTTTATAGTTGTTAAACCTGTTTTTTAACCTTTTTTTCTGAGGTTGTTTGGGCCCTTTTTGTAATTGTGTGTCTTATTAGTTGTATTATTTCTCTATGTATTTTTGTAGCTGCTTTGGGTGTATGTAGTTATTTTGACTTTCTTCTTTCTTATTTTCAGCAACCTAGTAGTTTATTTGTCTCTTTTTGTGGTAATTGTTAGTCCCCTTGTAGACATTTTGACTATCTTTCTAATCACATGAGTCTCTTAGATGTCTCTGTTTGTTCTTTGTCTCTCTGAAGTTGTGTTGAATCACTTGGAAGGTGCTTTGTTTCTCTTTGTAGTTGTTTTTTTCTCTCCTTGTAGAGTTCACTACACACTATTCCATGTCTGGACGCACACACTCACACATAGCTTCCACAAACACTGGAGAACACATATAATACACAGAGGGGTCAAAGGTCATTTTGCACGCTAACCTGTCTCTCCACCGATCGCACAGCCAGCAGGATCTTCCCGTAACAGAAGATCATGAGCAGCAGCGGCAGCAGCAGGCAGAAGATGAACAAACAGCTGATGTAGGAGCGCGCTGTGGGCGAGCGCTGGTGCCACTGGACGGAGCAGGTGGTGCCAGGACCCTCCAGCCCGTAGCTGCTCCATGACATAAAATTGTACAAACATTTTCAGAAAAGCAAAACTTAATTTTGTTATTTACTTTTAAACGAGTCACTTGTTAATTATGTATTTTACTAACTAACACATACTATCCCCCTAGTTTAAGAATGCATTTGATTGAATAAGTATACATGAATTATCTGATAGTGAAATTGTTTCATGGTGATTTTAAAGATTGATTCAGACCTGCTCCAGCCCAGCAGTGGTGGCAGAGTCCAGACCAGTGAGTAAAGCCAGGAGGCAGCGACAGCGAGTCTGGCCCTGCGGTACTGGGAGGAGTCTGAGGGGGAGCTGTAGAGCAGCACACAGTACCGCTCAAAGGACATCAGAGAGAGAGACACCAGAGATACTATACCTGACAGAGAGAAGAACAGCAAAGAACTGCAGCGAGACATCAAACGAGACTATCATGAAATGATTCTTATTCAACTCTGACCTAAATTCACAGAAAGTGTACTTTTACTCCATTGCATGTACAGCTGCAGATACAACGGTTTACATTTAACATCTAAAATAGGATGCATTCCATTGTTAAATTAGATTAACGAAAATTGGTACAACTGCACAACATGTATCTAAAACTAAATACTTCTACTTCTAATACTAATAAATCTTCTTTTTGAAATATGAAATACTTTGACTTTTTGATTTATTACTGATGCTAACACTTTTATTTATGGTGGAGTTAATACGATCACTCACCAAAAAATGCATTTGAGAAACCATACCAGCGGCACCCAGAGGACCCGGTCAGCCACCGGCCGTGCACGCTGGCCGCGAAGCTGAGGGGGGTCCCAAAGATGCAGACGAGCATGTCGCTGGCGCTGATGTTGATCAGCAGCAGGTTCACAGGAGTCACCAACCCGGGGAAACGCGAGAACACCATCAGCACGAGGAAGTTACCAAGGAAGCCCAGGACCAGAATGACCCCCAGGAACACGGCTGCCACGGTGTGAACTGCCCGGGGTAGCGCACCGGGGTCCGATACGGAGCTGTGTCCGGTGCTGATGTTGTAGCTTTGCTGCAGGACGATCACCATGACTTCCTGGTAAGAATGCCTAAACCGAAAAGCAGAATGAACAAGTCATAAAACAAATACATTATTGCGGATTTAGATGATTGAAGGTGTAAGGTTTTAGCGCTAGTATCCTGTTAGCTGTTGTGTTTTTAGTGTTTTGTCTATCTGTCTTTTGATGTTAATTACTCTGCTCTCTCTCTCCAGGTGTCGGCACTTCCTGTCCGTGTGGCACCTGCTAGACTGATTGTTGTTCCCGCCCCTGATTGTGTCCACCTGTGCCCCATTACCTAATGTGTATATTTAGTCCTTCTCTCCCTTTGTCTGGTGTTGGTTCGTCTTGTGATGTCGTTATCTCCATGCCTGTTTGCCAGAGATTCATGTTACATTACCTAGTAGAGCCTAGTGATTCTATGGAGAATCCTAGTAGAGCCTAGTAGTCATTATTGATAGCTTTGGTTTCTTAACAATAAAGAATATTACCAAGCAACGGAATTGAGCATCTGAGTTCAGACCAGGGCCCACAATTCGTTTCACGTTTCTGGAGGGAGTTTTGTCGCCTGATCCAAGCCACTGTGAGCCTGACGTCCGGATACCATCCCCAGTCAAACGGCCAAGCGGAGAGGATGAATCAAGAAATGGAGACCTGTTTGAGATGCCTGGTGTCCCAGAAACCTACCACCTGGAGCAAACATCTGATTTGGGTTGAGTATGCACACAATACCTTACCCACATCAGCCACCGGAATCTCTCCTTTCCAATGTGTCCATGGATACCAGCCTCCATTGTTCCCGGTGCTCGAGCAGGAAGTTACCGTACCATGAGCACATGCTCTGGTTTGCCGCTGTCGCCGGGTATGGAAGGGGAATCTTCCTTTTCACAGGCAGCAAGTCCCTAATCACAGATTTCGACAGACTACGGCAGGGATCACCAACTACATTTGTCCAAGGGCCAAAATGTATCCAATAGACACTATCGCAGGCAAGCGATTTTTATATAGTCCACAATGCTAGTGGAGCACGCTCAGGTACGCGGACCGCATAAAGCTTAGCAGACTCTTCACGCTAACGAAGGATCACTTCTAGGCAGGGTTGGGAGGGTTACTTTGTAAATGTAATCAGTTACTGAATACTGAATACATGCTCTGAAAGTAATCAGAATACAGTTAGTTACGTATTCAGATTACTTTTAGAATACTTTTGTAATACTTTCTTTTGCCATAACAGATGGGTATGTTTTGGTGAACAGGTGACACTTATTTTACTGTTTTAATGGCTTATCAAGAACTCAAACACAACATCTTGGTTTCATTCTGGACAGCTCTCTCATCTGCACCCCACATAAAAAACATCACCCGGACTGCATTCTTTGTACTGTCTTAAAACATTTCCTTGGAATATGTTATGAATTGTAAGGTGTCCTTGGGTGCTTTGAAAGGCGCCCATAAATAGAATGAATTATCATTATTATTTATTATTATTATCTGAAACGATGTAATAACTTTTAAAACTTTTTCACTTTTTCAGTCACTTGACCCATGCATTCAGCAGCAGCAAGTCATTCACTTTGATTTGATCCCGTTATGAAATGTCATCATTTCGACAATAAATAAATGCTACATAAACGTTATCTTGCACATTTTATCTAACCATCTCCGTTTCTAACTTTCAATATATTTTAAAAGAGATGTCTCATCTGCGTGCGGGGGCGGGGCCTCACAGACACGCTGCATCTCTCTCTTGCTCAGACATGCTGCAGCGCTGTGCAGTGTTGTGCACAGTTCTGCCGGTAATGAATATTACCTTTTGTGAGGAAACCTTTCCACCAATAATTCCAATAAGTATTCCAAAATGTATTCACTTCAGGTTTACGAAAGTAACTGTAATCAGATTACTCGTTTTTCAAATGTAACGCCAGCTGAATACAGTTAGCCTACTAGATTTTTGTATTCTGATACGTAACGCCGTTACATGTATTCCGTTACTATCATAGACTGTATATATAAAGGTTACAATGGGTTGTAACCTTTATATATACAGTCTATGATAGTAACGGAATACATGTAACGGCGTTACGTATCAGAATACAAAAATCTAGTAGGCTAACTGTATTCAGCTGNGCGATCCATCGTGCACAGAAAGCGGTTTGTGTTTGCAGGTTCAGAGGTTTTAAACGGAAAACAAATATGTGTGGATCAAAAATACACATTTAAAACTTTTTATATGAAGTTGCATATGAAACGGAACACATTTGTGTGTGCATTGAAAAACACAAGTGTGAATCCTTTTGCAAATCATGAAATACAAGTGTGAATCCTTCTGTGTGCATGTGTGTATTATGAGACTGTTCTGAGCCCATAGGAAACCCCCATTTACTTCAATTCAGAATGTAAGGTATCACAAGGTGAGTGCTTGATTTACTAATACATTTTGTGGCTGAAGACTTTTAATAAGAATCAAGCTATCTGTTGGAATAGAGGAAATGTCTACTGTGCTATGGATGGATCATGTTCACATCATTCACCGTCACTGTTTTGGGGTTGCCATATATACCATATGACTCATGGAGACATCATTCACTACCATGCCATCTACTGTAGGTCTGAGAGGCGAGCGGCTGGGTGTTTACCGTTGGGGCCGGGGCCTGCCTTTACACAGGGGGCACCTACTATCTGCATCATTGCTACACCTGCAAGAACAACGGACAAGCAAGCATCTGGTTGAACACAGAAGGACACTAGACAGGAGCTACCACGGTGTGTAAGAGTTTGTGTGTGTGGCCCCTGGCGGAAAAAACACACACCTGAAATGTGGGTTTTGCATTAGTCTTGTGTAATGTTTATTAGCCTGTAATGTAATTGTGACAGATGTTAGGAATAAGCACAGTGTAAGTTAGATTTACTAACTTAAATTCTTTTGGAAACCATAGAGAGGCCAAGTCCCTCCCATGTCTGTGCCTCCTATGGAACCGTCTTTAGGGAAAAGTTGCACTGTAGATTTTGGGGCGAGAGACAAATTATTTGTTTTATCTTTGTCAATTTCAAAGTTCATTTTAAGGTCAAGAAAGATGCATTTATTTGTAGTTCTGTGTAAAATGGTCAGTCTAACTACATTTCGCCACATGGTGATCTACCGGAAGGGGAGGGACTTCCCCTTTCTATTACTACAATAACAATTTCAATAGAAAGAAAAGAAAGAAAGAACCTGATATTAATGTTATTATTATAGTATTAAGAGAGAGTTAAGAGCTTCTTAGAAAAATTGATGGCAGAATGAGGGACAGAGAGAATCAAACAGATGACAGAGGGCAAAAGTGACAGAAAAACTGGAAAGCAAACACACAGGAGCATTTACATTAGCGCATACTTCAGTTTAAGCCAAAGCACCCAAGACTTGTCATGTGAACTATGAACTAATCACCTGACAAAACTGAGCTGAATGAACTGACTAGAACATATTAATAACCAGGAGATGTTTTTTGGGAAGTCTTGAAGAGACACGCGTGACATGCGGGTGTCTCTATAGTCCTTCCAATAACAGCTCGACTTGGAGTCCACTGGCTACACTAAGGTTTTGTCCGTTATCACAGAGACTGAATATTAGTTGTCACAAAATATTTCCTTAGCTAAGTAGCGCAGTAACAGTAGAGTAATCCCAATTGGAGCAACATCATACTTTCTACTATAGTTGTCCTACCAAGATATTTAGGCCCTGATTCTAGTTCTTTAATATAAGGTATCGGCCAAGTTGGATCCACTACTTGTATTTACATAGCAGCAGGTGAGGCCTGTGTGCAATGCTGATTAAATATGTATCTGGCACATAGAAATTACAGGTGTAACCTAAGAAGTTTGGCACACCTTACTTTCAAGGAGATTTAGGGCAATATAGATTGTTGCAGTACTCTATTTTTTACTGGATTCCAAAATAAGAAATCAGCAGTTCCTGTATTAAGTCAGTGATGGCAGCTAAATATTGTGGCTTGTTTGTTTCTTGCTCTTAGTTGGTGGTTCTTACCTGGTAGAGGGATGTGCATGCCCGGCAGTGGGACTCTGAAAGGAGGCACCATCACAGGGGGGAAGGCAGGTAGTGCTGCAGTGGGTTGGCCCACATTGTGGGGCAGCCCTGCAGGCAGCAGTGACATGGTCTGCACCGCCGTTACAGGTGATGGCACCGTGGAAACTGTTACCACAGTGACTGGAGACACAGCTACATTTGAAGACACTGTGGCGACAGGGGGTAGGTCTGCTACAACAGGGGCTTTTTGTAACACAGAGACAGAATGGAAGGATTTTTAATTTGTGTTTGTGTCTGTGAGTGTATGGTTGATTTAAAGAGTGTGTACTCACCTGAAATAGTCACAGAGGGGGAGTGGCTGGAGGAGTCTGGACTGGAGGCGAGTGTGCGGGAGGGGGTCGTGGAGAGGGCCTGAGTCTGCATGGCTGCTGTGCTGCTGGCTGTGGTGTTGACACTGCTGGAACTGCCAGCTGCCGTCACATTTGGACCCGACCCCGCTACAAGAAGAGGGTTCAGTTCGGACTGCTGGATGATTTTTACACCATCTGGTTTACTCCACGATGACTCTCTAGTCCTGGCGTTGTAGTAATATGCCTGTGGAGAGGATAATGGACAAGAAAACACTTAATAACAAATAATAACCACAATATAAATCATGGCAACAGCAGAATAATTATAACCCTGTATTCATAACCAATTATATTTTTATAGAGGAAAGTTTATTTCAAGTCTAATGTTCATCCATTCCACATCACTAGACCTTACTTTTCTAAATTATAATATACTTTTGTGAACTTCAAAATACTGTAAAAATCAATAATGAATTCTCCATGTCATTAGTAAAGGGGCCTTACGATGTGCTTAAGTATGACTTTTGGCTTACCTTTCCCTCAGACGTCTTGTTCTCTACCCAGATTTCCTCTGCCGGGGCTCCAGATGCAACAACGGGGGGCATCCCTGGAGGAAACAGCATCCCTGGGGGAGGCGGCAGGTTCCCCATGGGAGGTGGAAGGAACGGAGGTCTCTGCAGCAAAATATAGAGACAAAGCATTACATTTTCAGACCGTAAGCGGTAGGGCTAGGTAAACAGATTGCCCACAAAGTTTTCTGGGTGTCAAGACAGAAAAGCAGTCGAAACAACTCGATCGTTAAATCAATTAAGTCAATTCAAATAGTTTCAGTCATATTCCTCCTTGATTATGTAACATGTCTTTTTTTTTTAAAGGGATTATAGTGATGTTATTGTGACAAACAATTATTTTCATTATCTATGTCTAGTCAATTGTGTCTAGTCGAGAAGTCGGGAAATGTTTCCAACTATATTCTGTAAAAGATGTATTTTACTTTTGCCCGTCTTGCTATAAATGCAGTGTAGCAGATCACTCCAGACAAAGTTAAAATTACTCAGCCAACACTAACATGAAGATAAACATGCACTTCTTATAAGAGTTTTGGACATTCACCTGTAGATGTGGAGGTCCGATGGGTGGTGGCATGCTTCCTGGTGGTGGGATGGGCGGCATGTTGGGGTCGAAGGGGGGGCGTGCGAATGGGGGGCGTGGCGGAGGTCCCCTCATCATCCCAAAGGGGGGTGGCGGCGGCCTGAGGAGAGGTGGTGGGCCTCGTAGCACTGGTGTCTGGGCGGGTGCGGGGGCAGGCACAGGGCTGCGAAACCGCACTGCCTGCTGCACCATTCTAACGAATCAAGACAATATCAAGTTACTACACGTGTTCAATGGCAGAGCACCAAGTAGCATCTACAAAAAACGATATGAGCACTCTGATCAGTACTTACATACTAACACTTTATATACTGGATCTTTTCACCATATTCTTACCATACCTGCATATGTCTATAACCTCTTACTATTAGCATTACCTATATTTAGACCAGCAGAATACACTTTTTTTTTGTATCCCCTGCACTGCCCTCTATGTTTGTATGTACTGTTTATATCTAGTGTATTTCTATCTCTAGCTGTTAAAATCAAATCTTATTTATTCTATATTTCATTCGGTTTAATATGTACTTACTGTACTTAACTGCATTTTGTTGTCTCTGTACACTGTGCACACAACGACAATAAAGTTGAATCTAATCTAAGAATATGTACAACCTCTATGCATTGTTTAGCAGTTGCTTATCAATCAAGATATTGTTTAATGTAGATCTTTACAAGGGGGGATGATGCAGTAGCTAGGCTAGTTTAGCAGACTATACTTATATTACAAAAAACTTTGTAGCAACTGTTAACTGTAAGCAGTAAACTATTAAGCTTGCATGGTATAGTATGGATACATTTGCGCTTATGTGCCTACAACATATGAGCAGCAGGAATACGCTTTTAAAGATGGAATAACACTGTGACGTGGTAGATGTTTTTGCTACGGAGACAGTGGGTGTAGCACCTTTATAACCGTAACGCTATGTAGCTCTAAAGTTGTTTATTATTCCACATGTTCTTTAGGGTGATATCCTGTTGATCAAAACAGTACACACTCAGGTTAATCAAACACTCAGTTAGTCTCGTTTATAACAAAACAGGCTTACAGCACCCCAGTCCATTCAAAACACTGAATTGACGGAGTTGTGCGCTCCTGCTTACTAATGAATATAGCATAGCTTAGCTAGCTTGCAATATGGCATTCACATTTAAAAAGCACACTTAAAGACTGCATCTGTGTCTGAACGGAGACTCAAGGCATTTAGAAGGAGGCATTCAGAAGGAGAAAAACATCTGTCTGTGTCTGTATGTGGATGTCCATGTTTACCGCGTGGTAAGAAATGTGAGAGCAGAGATCAGCCGCTTGGAAACACAGGCTAGTTAGCTGCAAGCTAGTTAGCTAGCAAGGCTACGTGCACAAGTTAAACGGCTGTTTATCTCCACCTTATTAAACACATACAACGCGAAATAACTTCACAGGAAAGCGTGGCTTGTGGCTTCCTGTATACTGAGCGCACATTCATTTTAACACTGTATTTGCTATTATCTGACCTGTTGTCGCTGAACCCGATAGCCTCGCTCTCTGTCTGGTCCGCCATTACAGGAAAATGTAACCACTCTCTTCCTGGAAACGCCCCTAAGTGGTTTCTACGTCTAGTATTGGCTAAACGTTTCTGTCAGTCAGAGCGTAGTTAGCTCTGATTGGATCATGTTTCTCACACGGAGGTTTGGTCAAGCATTCATGTCTTTGTTCACACTGTAGAGTAGACTGTACACATACATTATGCAGGATGTAGCTGACTTACAGAATGCCACTTAAATTGTTCTACTTCTGTGTGTTTACTGTGTTGATGCTGGTAGATATTTTTATGCTATGATCATTTCTGTTAAAGTCCACTGTTGTGAACAGATGTGAAAGGACAGTGATACATTCTAGGACGAAGTGCTTTCTCAATAATGGAAAAAGTCCATTATATACAGTAAAACAATCATAGGGACATATTTGAAGATAGATAATTATGTTTCAGTAATATTTTTATTTTGCATAGATACTAAAAGGTCCCATTGAGATCAGATTATTTTTTTACAAGGGAGATGTGGCCAAGAACAACAACATTGCTGAGTTTCAACAATTAAATTAAAACTGTTATGACCTGGATGGAAGATTTCAGCATTAGAATTTTTTCAGGGTTACTTTTTTTAAAAAGTTTTAGATGACTCGGTTATTTATTCCATGCAGTTTTATTTTCATATTTTAGGTACATGTTGATTATAACACTTGTGTGCTGAATATCTCAGTCCAACAATATAAACATCATCATCATATTTACACTCCACTTAGATTTCTGACAAAGGCTGTTGACTGGGGAAAATATTAGTCTGCTCAGGTCCCTCTGATGCAGTCATCTGAGTGTTGTGGTCATTCTTAATTCCCTCAGTGGAACATCTGGCATTTGGGTATGAGCACACAGGAAATCAATTAGAACATGCTTCAGTTCAATATGTAAAATAAAAGGTATTGAGTTGTGATTCTGTGAATCCTACAACCTCTTAAAGTATTACGTCACAGACGGTGTGTAAAATGTAAGCATCTTGCATTGGTAAAAATCTGGCTTTTTAATAAATATGAGAACACTTGCACACAAGACCAAAGAAACGTCAGCTTTCTGCTGCATTAGAGAAAACTAAAATAAACAGTGCTTTTGCTTGTCCATGGAATTGATAGAAATTAATTTAATTATAATAATATTGGCAATGGATGGAGCATTGAAAAACATGAACCAGCCCTAAATAGTCACTTATCTGAATTCACTGAGGATGTCTGACCTTGAGGTGGGGATCTGTGCCTTTGAGCAGAGGCCCATTTGATGATACTGGCAGGAAGTCGTGTAGGGATAGTTGTAAACTTCATAGCACATGGGATATGGGGCCGCACTGGGGCATGGACGCATGGACCGAGCTTGAGGACAGGCACTTGAGAAGGAAACACCTGGGTCCTGTCCTGCTGTCTTTTTTGAGGAAAACCGCTCAATGTTTCTCTTCCTCCTGGGGCGATATTTATAATCTGGCATGATATGAAAAAGCCAAGAGCACGAGTAAGTGAAAGTCAGAAGTTGACCATGCATATCAGATCAGATTTAAACTGAAAACCTACTGTATCAACAGTAACCTTGAGTAAAACGTGTTTACCCTCTAATCAGCTGTGTAAATGTCCATACCAGGGAAATGCTGCCAGTGAATGTATTTCAGTATGTCAGCCACTTCGTAGTAGGGCCTCTTCTTCTCCACACTGAGTTTGGACCACTCGCTGCCCAGCAACTGATAGGTGTACGTCATGTTGACTAAAGAGGCATCTTTTTTAAGGGCACGCCGATGGATGCTAGCCCAAACGAAGTAGGCATTCGGGGGCCGTTTAATGTGTCCATTCTTGTCTGGGACAGTCTGCAACCACCTAATATCTGAAGGAGATTTTATTTTGGAGACACAAACAATGAGTTAGTCCATTTTGATTTGAATTGAATCAGCTAAATTGTCACACATGTACATGGCACCGCCCATACTGGGATATCTAGACACTTCATTAAACCTGTAATAGTGGATCATTGGGCAGCAGGGCCCATTGAATAATGTGGGGCTCAAAAGCAAACTGGCATCTCTAAAAACTCCACACAATGTACAGTACTTGGTCCATTTGGGTAATTACTGCCTCCCATTGCATAGTACAGTGTCTTTATTTTTGGACTTAAGTGAATTTCAATTTGCTACCGGATTTAGCATCACATTTTTGTTTATTCTGGTCAGATATTTTTACTTTGTTTATCATTGATTTTGACTTATTGTTGTTGTCTTAATTTAGGATGACTTTAATGTCAAAATATGACTTGGACTATATCCATTTTGATTTGATTAGCTCATAAATTATATTAAAAAAATTGTTTTGACTTAGTGTCTCATCATTTTGCCTCCACCGTTACAATTACTGTATGTTTTCCTATCTCTCTACATATTTTCACACCATCACACACAGGCCCTATGGGGTACTGTACCTTCCTCCGTTGGCATGATAGTAAAACTGATGACCTGACCATCAGCTCCTGTGGGTGAGGTTGGGGTGAGGTGGACTGGATCTTGGCTCAGAGGGTCTCCAGCTGCACCCTGCCTTATCTTTGAGACCCGCAGTGGGACCAAGTTATTCCTAGATGGAAAAGGGTTCACAGTACTGACCTGGAAACAGTTGTGGAAAGTAATAAGTGCATTTACGGTAAATACAGATTCAAAGTACTTGTAGTTTATTATTATTTTCATGTGAGTTTATACTTTTACTCTGCTACTTTAAAAAAAAAAAAGTTTTTCGTTTTTGTTACAATAATGAACAGAAAAACTATATGAAAGCAGACAGGGTCATCCCTGGGTACAAATAAATGCTTACTATGTTTTAGAAAATATTATACATAATATACATACGTAAAATACGTACTTGCGCACACATCTATACAATCGTATACACACTTAGATGCTATAACAGTAGCCTATCTGCATACGTGTATACATATTTAGGCATGTAGGGCTAACAAAGGCAGGGTTACTACTCTGCTCCCACAACGTTTGTTCAATAACTATAGTGCCTGATTACTCTGCAAATTGATGAAAACTAAATATAAACAACAAACAAATGATGACATATTTGAAGAGGCTAAGATAAACTTAATTAAACCCTTAGGGGAAACTCACAAACTATCCAGCAGTATCCTCAATCGTTATAAAATAACCCAAAAGTATGATGTAAACAGCTTTCTGGTGATGATGATTATAATATGGCCTACATCAGCCTATGATTATGATAGTACTATTACATAAGGAGTTTTTATGCATTGACTACTTTGGCTTCTGATGCTCAAAGAATATATTTGTTTTACTAAAGTAACATTTACAATGCATTACTTTTGTTTTCAATAGAGTAGTGAAAGGCACTGACCATTGGGGGCTTGTAAGTGTTGACCCCATTTCCGGTTAAGTCCAGCGGATGAATCTGATCCGCGGATCCGGTCTGCAGGCACTGAGAGGCGGCCCCGGCTGCCGGTGTCCTCGCTGGGTCCTGGCCCGTGTTTCTGGTTGACCATAACGATTTTATTTGAACTCTCATTGTTATTATTTTTATTGCAAGGACCGTCGCTGTAATTCCGATTTGGCTCTGTTTTTTTTTTTTTTAAACCCGTATTGTGACAACTGGAATGCTCAGGCAACAGAGAACGGATTTGGAAGTAAATAAGAGCAACGTTGCAGATGCAAAATGTTTTTATTTCTATTTATAATCATACTGTTAGTTCTATTTTTCTGTGAATACATGTAATTTCCCCCACGTGATTTCTTTTCAGGACCTTTAGTGCTACTCAGTGTAGAAAACATATGTAACAAGTAAAGGTACTGCATTCATAAAGTTAGCATAGAAATACACTTGTGGGACCAAAAGTACAATTACTCATTATACAGAATGGCCGAATTGACCATTTGATACCTCTTGAATGTTTTTGCTTTATGTCTTCTTTAGACAAAAACAAGAAAAACTCTGGTGGTGAAATAATATTTCCTTTGTTGGTTTAAACTGTGTCCTACATTACTGACAATAACTCACAAAGTTGCATACTCTTACAAAAAATGAAGAAACCGAATCTTTAATGTTATAATTTAATTTAATGTCGAATGAAGTACAGAAAATATAGAGAACAATCAAATGAAACGAGCTTTACCAAAAAGAAACAAAAACATGATTCCCTTAAACTATGATTATGTTATTAGTAGCTCTCACATATGAACAAAAGCTTACAAGGAAACTAATCAAATATTAAACTAATAGCTATGGAATCATCCTTCTGAGAGTAACAAAATAAAGATTTGGTCATTTGGAGAGCAGTGCCTCAGAAAATGACAAGAGGCTCTGCTGTGTTAACACATCAAACAGCAACAACTATACACAAAGTCACACACACTCATTCTATGCTCACACACACTTCACTCAAGACCCGCAAACCCTTAAGAATGCTCTCAACTAACCTTAAAAATAATTCATTAAAACTCAGCTATTGAATGAACTCCTCCAATGTCCATGTCAAATTTAAGGAAAGTTATTTCTTGGTACATGTGGTGAGTTGCAGATAGGCAACCTTTGCACCAAAAGACTACCAAGTTTGCTGACAAAAACAGTTTTTAATTAAATGTACATTGCTAGGTTGACCAAAAATGCTGAAGTGAGCCACCGTCTTAAATATGGAAAAAATGTAGAGGATCATAATGTTCGGTCTTGTAGATAATGATCATGTCCCCTTTTTATTCAAATAAAAAAAGATGATCCTGTACCTCTATCCATAAACTGTACACTATATGGTTTTCCTATCATTATCGCAATGTCAACAACAGAAGACTTTGATATCGAACTCAAGGATATTTCAATTTTTGTAGAAGAGTACCAGCACAAATCTGTGCTTGAACATGTAACTATTATAATTGTTTCTTGTGCCAATCGGTTCAATTCAGTGCAATTTGTTTAATAAAAGAATGTTAGAAATCATTTCTTATATATTATTTTCATTACACAAGCAATTTGTTGAATTTTAGCAGTATTCTGAAAGCAGCAGAAAGGCATAACTGATGACACATCTGTTTAATTCCCCTTGTTATATCTTTATTGCGATATTCAACAAAGTTACCACTTATCGCACATTTTCCCCATCTTGTGCAGCCAAGAGAGGAGGAACCTTTCATTAGTAGAAATCTAAATAAAACACTGACAAAGACTTTAATCAGACAGAGGCATCCAGAAAGTTACTGCTCATTATAATATTAAGAGCTGCACATTTTAGGGACCTTTGTTCTGGGCATGTTAAGGTTTCACTCATCAAAAAACTTTAATAAAACTGTTGGTGTTTATTGAACATGAAATGATTCTGAACTGCTACAAGACTGAGCAAAAAGAGGAAAGTCAAATGCAATTCATCCATAAGGCTCAAGAACAAGCATACACTCACTCTGCCCTCTGCTGGAGGACCAGAGTATGGATTCACTAAAATGAAGACTTTGTAAATGTTTGCACTGATTTTTGTCCTAAAGGGGGATATACTGTAGTTAATTCAAGAAACAGGAAAAGAGGGAGAACCTTTTCACCCACAGGTAAGTAATGACTATAGGCCAACAGTGAAGGTGGGTTAACACCTTCACTGCTCTTTAAGTCTCTCTGTATGACATCATTTCACACAAACAGTTGAGGGGCACCTGTGGGTGCTCTGCCCTCCATCAACATGTCACAGGCTGGGGGATGATGAGCAGTCGCCAGCTCGCCACAGACAGCAGAAGCAGCGAGAGAAACATGCAAGGTTCTCTTCAAGTACAGCAGTCCTTCTGTGGTTCAAACTCTCATAACGTCAGACATGCACCCTCACAGACACACACACACACTCAGTCACACACATTTGCACTCCTTCATTTTCCAAAACTGCCAAAGTTAGCGAAGGCATCCTGTTTGGGAGGAACCATGGCCAGGCTGATGGAGTGTGCTGCTCCTGGCACTCCCATGCCGCCCATCATCACTGGAGCGGCCATGCCCAGATTCATGCTCATGTTCATTCCCATCATGCCTTGGTTTACAGGAAGTCCTCCCATCCCCATGGTCCCTGTGGTCATAGAAGGGGGGAGACTCGATGACAAGATAGCAGGCATTCCCATGGCGTTGCCGGCCATCATAGGATTGGCTGGTGGTCTGATGGGGGTCACCTGAGGCGGGGAGCTGAGGTTCAGTCCTCCGAAGTTCTGGGACAACAGGTTGAGGGGAGGAACTCCTGCACATAAACACGAGCAGGGAGAAGTTAATACTAGGTTTTACCAGTAAGTGAGATAGTAAAACTGACAAACGGTCAAGTCACATTTATTTATCTTTTTTACATCTGCAGGCTGCACAAACAGAAGAGGAATCACAATTTGGAAGATGATACCTTGCTGCTGGATGATGTTGTTGAGTGTGGGCGGTGTCTTGGAGGGGTTGAGGCCTGCTGATAGGAAGTCCAGGCTGATGTTGACGGAGGGGTCCGACCAGGTAGAGCCTAACGATCCTGGACCTCCAACACCAACCTTCTGCTGATCAAAGGGCTGCTGAGAGCCTCCCAGGCTCTAAAATAAAAAAAGAAGCATATTGTGAAGAACTCAAAACTCAATGCAAGTAACAGTCATAAACTGGAACTTCATACTAGGGACAAACTGATATCTGCATGTCATTAGTATCAGCAGATAAAGGCATTCAAATTAAATATTGGAATTTGTCAGAAATGTATATTTCCTCAAATATGAAAGGCCAATAGGATGATGTGTATACGCACATGATGTGAACCATTGACAAAGAGAGTGCAAAGGTGAATGTGTGCATTAAAAATATCTATAGAGGTTTCTCAATACTCTAATCTCAATACTCTAATTTCCCCTCCTCGACTCCTATCCTCGAGACTTAGTGCCGCCCACAGGAGATGCGAGCGGAGGACTGAGGAGGAACCATCAGTGTCTCCTCGGTTAGAGCTCCTCCAGAGAGCCTCCTCGATGCTCGGTCCTCGTTGTGCATTTAGGGAAATGAGATGTCCTTCAACATGGCGCGCTGAAATCCATTTCCGGGTCACTACCGGAGGACCGAGGTGTCGAGGAGGGGAAATTAGAATATTGAGAAACCTCTTATATTTGCATCTGCCAGTGGGCCATTATAATGATATTGAGACTTGAGACTTCTGCATAGACAACATTTAAATATTTAATTATATTTGTGCCAAAGCATCATACATGTGTGCATCCCTACTTTAGATTTATTGAACATTTGAACTAGAAGCATTCTTCAAGGGTGCACTGACATCAATCTTTAAATACAGGGGTGCACATACATAACTGGTACGCAGTTACGCATGCGCGGCAAACATCTGAAATGCGTACCGTCACTTGTCTCACTAAGCGCATTTGCGTACCGGCGGACTTGTGACGCATTTCCAGAAGGCGCTTCGATCACTGGACGACAGAGCTAGTGTACAACGGAATTGTGCCACAACTTCCGGCGCGAGTTCCACGCGCGTGCTCCACTAGAGCCCACCCCTCCCGTCAACGTTCAATACTACACCCCCACCGACAAAACGCATCCTCCCCCCCTAATACATGTTTTTGTGATATAATGATTATAACCAGGGGTTGAGGGGCTGAACACAGAACTTTGCGTGGGCAGCCCTGAGTACCAAACATTGTCTCCTGGTACTCATTTGAATAACTCACTAAGAAAGTTATGTGCACCCCTGTTTATATAAGTTAGGAGTCCCTGTCCAGGAAGGGAACCGTACATACCTGTTGAGAGCGAGAAAGGGGCATTGTTGGCATAGCAACAGACGCCCCTGGTGTTGCACCTCCCAGAGAGAAAGTCATGCTCTGAGAGGCGCTCAGCGTTGTGTGTGGATTGGTTAGTTGATGGTTCACTCCCCCCATCAGATCAAAGAGCTCTGCAGAAGGTGGGACGGTGGCAGGTTTGGAGCAGGGGGCGGACTGGACGCTGCCGAACAGATCAGTGACGGGCTGGGAGGAACCGGAGGGGGAAGCTGGCTGATTGGCCCCAAAAGCATTCCAGTCTCCAAATTCCCCGTTTCCATTGGATGGGGCAGCAGCTGGCCACAGGAGATTAGAGACATGTTACGTTTTTATTATAATATTCATCTTGGGCTTTAACACAAACAGACTCTTTCACCTTGTCCTAAATGTACACCAATTTTCTAAAAAATCTTTTGGGCGTTGCCATAAACTAGCATCTAATAAAACTGTGACTGACATTAGGCTTTGTGGATTTGTTTTGTTTATCAGTTGAACTTAAGTCAGTTTAATTGTTTCTTTTGAACGCTCTTGTACAGTGATGGACACAGACTCTCTCCATATCCCTACACTCAATTTTCTGTACGAATAACTTTCCCCCTTGGTCCGGTCAAAAGGTACCAAACAAAAACATCTGATGGAGGGAAGACCAAGTTTACCTGTGGAGTTTGGGAGGCTGGCAGAGGCTGCAGGAGAAGAGAAGTCAGCAAATCCACCAATGAGGCCTGAACTGCCACCTGGATGGTCAGAAACATGCATTATTAAAAAAAAAAGAAAAAATCAAAGGACTAACAACTCACTGGTCCAATAAAGAGTGACAGGACTTGTACACCACCTTTTAAATGAATCAATTAGAAATGAATTGAATAGCAGGATTAAATGTAACGTTACATTTTAATATAACATTATAAGAATGGTATACACTTCACATATTGAGTCTAACACATTGAACTTTACAGTGCACTGGTATGTAGCTATTGTTTTGTATTTAAAGCAAAACAAAAAGGGTAGCATCACTACAGTACAGTGCAAGTTATTTGTTTTGCAGAGCAGCAAAAATAATCCAGGAAGAACCTGAAAGTTTGCACGTAGGATCAATTCAATTGTAGGAGTACCGGTGCTGATCCAAGTTTAAATCGGACAACACTAGGGTGCCAAACTATTGGAGCCCTTGAAAGATGGCAGCATTTTCCCAACTGAAAGGCTAAAAGTACACTGTACTGTGATGTTGTTCCCCTTTCCTGCTTTACAAACAAAATAATGACAACATTTCAGCATTTTATTTTTCTCTTGTCTATATTTGCATGTTTCATTTTGAGGTCATCCATAAGTGACGGAAAGTGATTAAGTTAAGTTTCTTTGTAATACTTAGATTAGTTTACAGAAAGCAGGCAATTAAGTTATCCTCTCAACTTTTTACAACACCTAGACCAAGATCCTGGCCCTTGTTTTTTATATCTTTGCATTCGTAAAAGTTTGTATTTACCTGTTGCAGTGCTCTGATTGGATAAAGGGTCAATCACTAGTAGGTCAGCTAGGCCGCCACTCGAAGACTGCCTGAGTGATGACTGAAGACAGAAACAGAGATTAGAAATGTACATTCAAAATATATCCCACATTTTTAAGTGTGAGAGAGTGTGTGTGTGTGCGTGTGCGTGTGCGTGTGTTTCACCTCTGGGCTCTTGTCTCCGGTGTAGTGCGCTGCAGCTCCCAGGTCCAGAGTCTTGTTGCTTGTTGCTCCGCTGCGTTTCCGCGTGGTCGTCGTCGTTGTTTCTGTTGCCTGTGTGATCTGAATGCTCTTCGTTGTGACAGTTTCCTCCTCGTCTTTGAACTCAAGGGTTTCCTGCCTACCGTTCCTCGATGCTCGATCCTCCTCGTTGTCACTATGGCAACCGGACATGAAGGACGAATGAGGAACAGCACTCAGGAGATTTTGTATTGATCGTTTTTTGTATGTCTGTGTGTGTTTGGTTATGTAAGGGTAGATATTTATTTTAGGTTTCTACCAGAACATGTTTAAATGCTTTAATGTATAAAAAAACACATCATTTCCCCCAGACTGTCTCTCTGAGTATACCAGTATCAATGCTTCATTTAGCAAGCTTCTCTTTAAACCCTTCTTTAGAAAAAGCACAGCCTGCTCTTATAGCCTTGGGAGATACAATTGAAGTGTAGCTGCGGGTAAAGAGACACAGATTGGGGCGGTATATTCTAATAGGCCTGAATGTGAAGGGCAGCCAAATTTGATTATATGTAGCCTAAATCAAATGACAGCGAGGCTATGACTATCTAAAGTGCGTTGTGACTAGGTGATATTGGTGATACAAACAGTGGGAGCATTTACCTGATTCTCTCCGGTGAGTCGTCTCGTTCCTTCTTCCTGAACTTGTTGATTGTGTCGTCTATGGTGCTGCCTATCTTGTCACTGATCTCTCCGAGCTTCTCGCTGAAGGGGAAAGCTCCTTTGCTCTTATCCCAGTCCTCATCCCACTTACTCCGATCCAACTCGTTAGCTGGAAGGAAGAACACATAAAAAAGGGGAGAGAATAAATCTGAGCTGTTTTACAGACATCCGTCAAGTCTTAATCAAGAACTATATCATTTAAATGTACACACAAAAGAAAATCCTGGCATTGTAGAAGTCGGAAGAAGTTTTTTAAATATTAAATCAGTGAATATTTTCTGGATCGACTTGTTGACTAATCTATTTACACTACAGAATAAATAATATCCGCAATACTTGCCAAAATAATGACGGTTTTAAAAGGTTTTAGTATATGGGCAGACAAGGCTTAACTATAATTGATAAATGATAGCGTTTTGTGTTTCACATCATTGAAGAAATCTCTATGTATAGACTTAATAACTTCACAAAATGTCTATAGTGTTTGCTTTACATGATATCCATTAGGGATGATATCGGCCGATACTCACTCTCTGCCGATCGATCGGTGCTCTCTAAAAATGCCGATCGCATGACGTGAAATGATGACGTAAAATACATGAGACTTTTCTCTGTGCGCGGCAAAACGAGCTCGCCAAAATGGCTTCACCGGTCTGGCAGTATTTTAAGGTGTCTGAAAATGACTATAAAATAGCGGTATGCAACGCTGGGACGGAGCGGTGAGCGGAGCAACACACACACTAAGAGTTAGACCTAACACACTTAGCTATTTTATCTACCTCTGGAACAAGCTGAACTAGTTATAAATATGTGTATTCTTCACTGTCGGTCACTCATTACTGGATCAGGCTGTCAGGAGAGAGAGAGAGGGGGAGAGAGGAAAAGAGAGCGCTTCTGCTCATTTCTCCCGTGTTATTATCCAAAGTGAATGTAAACTTGAATAATCTACTTCATTTGAATGTAATAATTATGTTGGTTGTTGTTTGTGGAAGCGCCAGTGAATGAGCATTAACTGAGTTTTAAACATCACTTTAAATGGAAGATCCCCATAGGCCCCGCCCACTCGATCGGCCGATACTGATTCCGGCGATCGGCCCAAAATTGGCGATCCCCCTAATATCCATCACTCAAAGCATGTATAGGGAAAGTTATTATAACCATTTTAATTCACATTTGTCATTCGCTGTCAGAAGGAGACGAGACGCACTGAATTACTTACAGTTCTTGATAATTCCGCCTACTCCTCCTCCTCCTGCTAATACTACAGCTCCTCCTCCTCCTCCCATACTGTCACAGGACACTCCGATGTATTTATCTTTGTTCTTCTTGGCTTTCTTCCTTTCCTCTCTCAGTCTGTCGTCGTCCTGGACAAACTCCACCATCTCCTTCACCTTCTGACGCACATTGATGCCCTGATCCTTACCGCTCTCATCTGGACAGACGCACAGAAAGAAATGCTGGTTAACTCATGATCGTGTTTTTTTTTTATAATGCAGGAATACCAACAATGACATGAACAGAATTCCGTCTTGTTGAACACACTGTGTGCATGCTCCCCGGAGAAAGAACTCTTTATACTTTGATCTTTCTAAGAGTGCTTATTGTGCAAACAAATTAACAGAAAAGTTAAGACGAATTTTCATTAAGAGACTCACCAATGAGGTGGTAGTTTTCTAAAGATCGCAGGTCGTAGATGTGTTCTCTGGCGCTGGTGACGACTCTTTCAGACCCATTCCTGATCAGATAGGCCAACAGTAGTAAAGCCTGTGTGCAGAGAGAGGAAAGGGATAGTAAGAGATGGACTGAAAGACGTGACAAGAGAGTTCCCTTTGGGGAGGATTTAGGTTCAATTACTTTGGCAGAAATAATCTTTCCTTAAAAGAAAAAAATCTGTTCTGCTTTACTTAACTGTCCCTTCTTTAAACTAAACTTAAAAAACCCCAATCATTCAATCTCCCTTGGCAATTTCATAATTTATAATGTTTTCATTAAAGTATTTTGATTGTGTGGGAAGGAAACAAATTCAGTTATAATGCAACATTGCTCTAACATTTCACACGATACATACAGAAGAAAAACAGAGAATGAAAAACCCAGAATGACATGGATGAAATTAGATATGCAACACTGGAGCACATATGGGTTTGTGACTTCGTTAACAAAGAGGAACAGAGACTCGGCTTTGATGAATCCTGATACTACAATACAGAAATGAGCTGCACAGAACAACACCACAGTTACAGTGCAACACAGGCACATCTGGGGAACATCCAACGAACCACAGTGTAACGATACCTTGTACACTCGTCTCCAGTTCTTCTTGTTGTCCTTCAGCATCCTGGTCCACAGCATGTTCATCACCTCTGGGAACTGCTCATACATAAAGGTGGATCTAACACACACAAACACAAGACCACAAAAGTTAAAAGTGCTTTGAAAACCCAATGCATGTTAACCAAAACACAATCAGGTCAAGTAATCGGGGCCCGTAGTACAAAAACATCTTGACCTTCAGATACTGTCTTACCTGTGACAATTGTAGTAAGGGTTTAACCCACAATGCATTACGGATTAACAGTTCTTAATTCAATGCTCCTACCGTAACTTAAAATAGCAGTAACGCATTAAAAAGGAATCCTAAATTGCCCAAATCTAACGCAATGAAATATCAATAGGGTATATGTGTCCTATACATACTTGGCTATTTCTCCCATCAGTTGTCCGGAGGGTCCCCAGGGGTCGTCATTAGTTGCCTCTCTCACCTTGGACTCGATCTCGGAGTAGTTCATCACCACATTAGTGCTGTTGACACAAACATACATTTTCTTTCAAATGTGCTCCAACACATTTTGATATTAACATCACTATTCCAAACATGTAAAGGTGAAACCGTGTGGCTGTGCTTTCTTATCTTACTGTTAGTCAGTCTGCATTGCAAGTTATCAGCAAATGTTCTTGACGTCCTGATTCCCTCTTATGTCAGACAGACCCAAATACACACATTTGTATATCTACACACTTTTACACAACACAGATGTACTGCTACACATGAGAACGCCTCACTCATGCAGCACACACTAAAGCTGACAACACGTTCAAAAACAGGATTATAACAACAAACATATCTTTTATGCAGGTGTCGTACAGACAATGAAACCATGAAACACAAGGAGAATCTCAGCTGCCTGAATTATAAATGACAGCTTTCTAAAAGCCTGACCCCTGCACTTCAAAGGTGGACACACCAGCGTTGTGTGTAAGAAATGATTCAGCTTCACGGGGCACAAAAGGGAGATGAGACGGTGTGTGCATGAAAGAGAGGGGAGCAGGGGGCGTGTATCCATCTGTGTGTGTGTGTGTAAGACAGTGAGGTAAACAAAGCCAAACCTCGCCATAAGCAATGCCTGCTTCCTGCCCGCTTTGATTCTGTGTGCTCACCATCTGCTGTGTTTGTTTTCCTGTCTGTGTATCTCTTGATGTGCATTGCTTGCTTTACAGACAACCGAAAACCACAGCCAAAGCACTAAACATGTGAACCACACAGCTTTCACTCAATTTCCTATCATGTTATTTGTTCAGATCCTCTTCGCCTCTCCCAATCTCCTGATTCTATCTTCCTCTTTCCTTCCACAGCACCTTTCCTTGTCGTCTCTTTCTCCTATAAGCTCTGCCACTCTCCAAGCTGAAGGAAATAAGAGGCATCTGAACATCACGAGAGCTGCCTTTGACTGTGTTATTGTCGGTAGATAAGACAGACATAGACAGCGAGAGCTCCATAGTAGTGTGACTCTTCATCTGCAGGGAAAGCAAGGCTGCTGCTGCTGCTGCCAGCTCTATTGAGGTAGATCAATAATGGAGTGTATTCATCAGGCCCAGCCAGGCACAACCAATAGCTGATGGGAGCTGGTGTCTATTATTCCGTTTAAATCTCTGTTGAGCTCTCAGACTGTGCGACTTTACTGTTTATTCCCTCTTCTTATCTCCTTTCTTCTGTCTCTTGACGTATCTGTCCTTTATGCAAATCAACCGGTATTTTTCCCTTATCACATTTTGCTAAATAATTTGACAAATAAAGTGTGAAGCCAGCCAGAGAAAGTATAGGGTCTCAAATGTGGAAATGTGGAAAATAAAGCTATGATTTGGAAAAAGTAAAAAGAAAGAACTTAGGGACGACCTCCTCTTGGAAGCCTTGTTGGCCATACCAATGTTTTTATCATCATCATGGTCTGTATTTAAAGAGGTATACAGGGCAAAATGAATGTTAGAGTTCATCAAACTCTCTTCAATAAAAAGATTATTTTGGAATATATAATATCGCACTCTCCTTGCCACTGGGCAGTTTCTCTAAATAAAAGTGTTCAAGGTTTCAGTATTCAGATGAAATAACTACAGTCTGAGTGTTAATACAACACCCACACAGTATACCTTACCTTACACTGCATTTAACCTTATTTTCAGAATTGACAAAATGCAAGTGCACATTAACAAGTAGGGCTTACTTATTTGGGAAGGAAATTGTTATTAAAATTATTTTGACTGCAAATGTAACATGATTTACACTATTGGAGAGAATGCTCAGTGTTGCAGAATCATTCTCATTTCATTGATAAACATATTAAGTATATACTATGGGTCATATTTTACTCCCTTCAAGAAAAGCCTTAGAAACACCGCTCAATATAATGCAGTCCAGTTCAGCGGCACTGCGAACTGTAAATGTATATTTAAATGAACCCACTCTGAGAGTTTCAACCAAAGCCGATATTCAAATTATATTTCGATAACAGACGAGTATGCCACTCATAAAATGACCTAAGAAATTAAGACGGACATCAAAACTCTACCACCAAAATGAAAATTATTGGACAAACTGTAGGAAAAAAACCGAAATGATTAAGACGAGTAAGCAACTAATTATGAATTGCACCTAGATTTCACTCAGTAGCTGAATTAAGTATACATAGGACGTTTTTCTATTTTATGTTTTCTTTAATTATTTTACAGCTCTTGTTACTAGTTTCTTTACACATTCAGATTATTATTACAAATGAAATCTGCCTAAAGAGCACTTTTAACTCTCGAGGTATATGTTCATGCTAGTACAGTGGCACGTTATATTTTGAACACAGGTATTTTTAACTGAAGTTTGTTACTTTAACGTAAAATAACTGAAAATGTCTTCCAACGATGGTTAAACTCAAAAGGATTCAGATAACGTGCCTTTTCAAACAAACAGGAGGGTAGGCTGTTGTTGTCCCACCTCTTCTTCCTTCTCCTGGGTAACAGTATAATGACTATATCAATTATACTGCCCATTATACTTGAAACAAAAAATATCCCACAGACACACGTCACAATGAAGCATGTAGTCTAGCACTCAGAGAAATAATCAAAATATAGTAGTCTGCATCAACAACAGTAGCCAGTATGATCTGTATGGACGAGCTTTGTTGTCCTAACTGTCCGGGACCAGGGGTCATCGTGGGCTGCGTTGAGACATGGTTGCTCGCTTATTGCCAGGAAAAATACTATCCACAAACAATTATCTGGCGTATTAGCTTGCCATCCTTGATGCTTAGCTTCCCAATGAGGAAACAATGTTAGGTAAATGCATGGTTTAGGTAGCGGGCATCAGGGTGGGACAGGGCGTGATTCCGCAGCAGCACCAACACACAGAGACGACCTGGGCTTAGCAATACTAGCGAAAACAGCTAACTGGATAGCGTTCGTTGTGGTTTGGAACTAAATAAAGTCGGAGTTTTTAATTGTAATTTTCATGGCCCATATGAATAGGTGTAGAAAAAAATATGCAATGGGAGAAGATTTGGCAGCTAGCCAGCCAGAAGAGCTAACAGCTGAGGGGCTATCTCCGTGACGTATCCTGTCCCCTCAGCGATAAAAGCTGCTGATGCTGCCCGGCTAAAGCTGCTGATGCTGCCTGGGTAAAGCCGCCTAGCTAGCCGGTTAGCGTAGCAGCCACTTAGCGGTTGAGCCAGTAGCTCCACCTGCTCCTCCGTATTACTCACGCTTTGTCCACTAGCTCTCTGACTTTCCACATATTTAGCATCTCCGCACGGAACTGCGGGATTGCCGACTCGATGGTGTGTTGCCCCCGTGCCTCTTCGCCTCACAAGACAGAGGAGGTGTCCCGTTACCGACGACAATCCCCCCCCAGCTCCTTGATAAGCTCCGGTAGTACAACGGCCGCTGCGGTTAACGGTTCGGCCCCAGTTGCTACGGGAAACGTCGTTCTCTGCCTACGTCACTAAAGCGTCGATATGTTCCCTCGCTTATTAAATACAAATAGTGAAACGATGAATCTATTATTATCACAATTAAATAAAAACACGGTATGTTACTGCCAACATCTCGATTGTTTTGGTCCTCATGTTTAGTGATATACAGTAGGAGAAAGCATGGGAAATCATCAGTTATACATAGCCTACTGTGTCAATTCAAAGCAATGGCAATGTCAAAGCAAAATTGTGTTGGAAAATGTTTTATTGTATATTAATACATTTGGAATAGACGAATATAATATCCCATTAATTAATATTTACTTTTTTTCCCATTGACAGGAAGAAAGCCACTTTTTCTGCACTTTATTTATGCAGTTAAACCAGACAGCATCATCTTATCTAATGTTAAAAACATAAACTAGCAATTATAATTATAATTATTATATAATCATGCAAGTTATACACTTGTCAAATATTCTGTATCACTGCTGATTTGTGTCTAAAGGTTGGTCCGGACCTGAGGGGAGCCTTGCCCAAGTTTACACACATAAAATGTGTGTGTGTATAGAATAAAACTAAAAAGCAGACTTTTAATAACTGACCAAAAGATGTTTGTTTATTTAGAAGTGAAATGTTTTTGGCCTTTTGTTTGTCTATAGCTGTGTAACCAACTTAGAAACTAAATGAAACATAATGAGGCTTGGAGTAAATGTATAGTTTAGAAGTGCTTAACACAATTGTCTTGGAGATATTTGCAGATAAAATTCACCTGCAACTCTCATCCAAAAGTGTCTTTTTTTAAACAAACTCAGCTACTCTTTTGTTTCTTTTACAGATGTTGTTAGCAGTAGGTCTCTGCCTAAGCGTGATTGTTCAAACAAAAGAAACATGGGTAGAGCATCACAATATGGTGCATCAGTGGCTTATTGTGTTAAAATCTGTAATGCAGGATTTAGGAGCTGTATATTTTTATTAAAATGTAATCAAAATTATCACAACCCTATCTACTTTGGTTTTGTAAAAAGCAGCCGGCTCCCCTAAAATGTTCATTAGTGTCTTCCGCTTCTGTTGCCAGGCTGAGTGAGTTATTGGCTCATCCGCTCAGTCCACCACAGCTTGTATTATTGATATGTTGGCTCAGTTATTTAGGTCTCCAATCTGGTCTAGAATAAAGTAAGGAACATAATAAGGACGTGTCTGATTGAGTAGTGGTCATCTACGACAGAACGTTAGATTCTACACCTTGGTTTACATTTTCCTTTGGTCTTTCTCTGTGGGAATGTGTCCTTGGTCCTGTGAAGGTTTGGAGATGTTATTCACTTTTTGACATGTCTATTAATCCTGTACTATGTTATCTAGAGGTTTGTTTAGCCAACATTTGTATTGTAGTAGTATAACTCTGCTCTTAGTGTTTTTATTTTCAGAGATTGAATTAACTTAGATGGTAGTATTGCTTTTTAATGACTGCTTTTTAATAACTGTTTTTAAATGCCATATTATTAATGTCTTTCATTGTTGTAAAGCACTTTGAATTGCCTTGTGTTGAAAGGTGCTATATAAATAAACTTGCCTTGCCTATGTATTTAAATGCCAATAGGCTATAGAAAACGGGGGGAAAACAATATATAGCTAACTATATTTATATTGTCTATAAACTATGATAACAATAATTGAGTGTTTCCTTTTTATTGAGGGTCTGTATTTCCGTTATTATTTTTACAACAATATGGATAGACAAACCAAATGTATTCTATGTGAACACAATGGGGTGTTTAAACACTAGGAGCATCCCACAGATATGTATGTGTGTGAGAAAAACCGAGCTAAATATTGCATCCCTTCATCCATGTACTTAAGTGCTTAATAAGTGTTTTGTCTTAAAGGGGCTCTATTATGCAGATTTACAGGTTCATATGTGTATTTAGTGCCTCTGCTGTTTACATTCTTTAATGTTAAATTTTTTTCTTTATTTTTCTCATATTGCCTGTGCTGCAGCACCTCTGCTCTGATTGGTTAGCTGGCCGCTCGGTTGTTATGCTCAACCGCTTAGAGATGTCCCGCCCCTTAGCCAATGTGTTGGGGCGCTAGCCAATAGAAGCGCAGGTGTTTCATAGTGGGTGAATTTTTTTTTATTTTTAGGTTTTTTTTTAGAAACGTTTTTTTTTTTGTTCTCGTCTGTCTTAAGTGAGTTGCTAAAGTGATAGTGAGTGTTCCAGTGTGTAGCTCGAGCAGCGGGGGAGGGGGAGACTTTCGGGTTGAGTTTTAATAAATACCAGTCCCAAAGCGCGAGACTAACAAAGCGGCCCGGCTCTATTAACATGACGAGTGTCGACCCGCTTAATATAAGATATGTCGTGTATACGTTTTTACCGATGGCTGTTGTGCCGTTTTATACTCTCCTTTATGCTTGTAAATTTCCCTCCTGACCCTTTGAGCCTTCAAAAAGAAGCAGAAGGTGGCCGCAAGCCCTTTTAACGGGTGGACGGACGAAACGACTGGTTGATAGTAAAGTTGTTAAATTTTCCAGGTTAAGCGTCGAAGGTGGTAGTGTCTGTCTTATTGCTGACTCTTCAACCGAATCAATAGCTGACAGGCGTTTGCCACATCTTATCTCACTCCCTCGTATTATTTCCTGCACCGATCTTAACTCTTCGTACATGCCTCCGTCTTGGCAATCTAGATGTGGAACCTAGAATGGAAAAAGGAGTAGAACAATGCTCCACTTACTAGCTGTCTCCGTAGGAACTGTTTATAGTGTGCAATACTTGACTACTTTGTCTACAGTTGATGTAGGACATAGATAACAATAGCGATCTTCCCAGAACTGTATGACGAGTCTGCTAACAAAGTTGCAACTCATACAGGGACTACTTTTGTACTGGACGCTTGCTCATCAGTATCTTTACGTCGCTGACTAGCTTATTGGATGCATCTATCCTTCATGTAGTCTGTAAAGTCTCTTGTATGACGTGTATTGCAAATTTCCTGTTGTAATAGTAGGCGCTACTCAAAGTAACTCCACGTGACCGTTACGTGACTTTACCGGAACACTACAGTTACTGTGCGCGTGTTTAATCGATAGAAATCACGGCGACACGCGATCAGTTGCTCATGTCGGGTAACTGTATATGTGCCCCTCCTTTGTTATCAGAACTGTTAATCTCATATATCAGGTATTTTAGTCTATCGTTTTCATCACTCATTGTATGGCGAAAATACTCCCCAGCGTCATAAGTCTTTATTTTTCGCCGCGACACGACCTTTGTAAATGTCTTTCAAATTGTAACCAGGGAGTCATACTTTTTTAGTGTGTCGTAAGTGCTGTCTACCGCGTGGCCGCTGCTACGAACCATTCTCCTTGCCTCCGGCGTCACAGGGAACGACTTGTCTTCTGCGAATTTTTGCCGGCCCCCCACCGGACGACTTCCCATGAAAAGAAGTAAATGGTACACATAACACGGTAGTTGTTCGGGAACAAACGGATTCAAAGTTTACAGACTTACTTCACTACCGTTTACATTAGCTTCCACCGATAATATAGTCCCCGTGTCCGCGACGGCACCGTTCTTTGGTGAATTTAAAATATTTGACGACACCACACCTCCTTCAGAACCTGTGAGTGATACCTCTCTAAACCACAAAAAATGTGTGGCTCTATTAGTCTCGACGAGATTTCCTTGCATACGAACGTGTAAATTACCCCCTGAACCTAACTTGGGCACTTTCGGGAAGTAACAAGCCGGGTTCCCCTCTGAAGGCTAAAGGAACAAAAGACCTACTATTTCTCACCCACGACAGACAGACAAACGCGTCAAGGGACGACACCACTGTAATGCGCGTTCGGTGAACTTGCTTAGAATTAGAGTTCTACGTCCCTTTCTTTGTTCTGGCACATACTCGAGATGTGTGCCGGACCAGTTTCATAAAAGACTGTTTGACCTACATGAGCTGGTTTCACAGAGGCACCAAGGGACCTTAATGGGCAGAGAGAGGGTGCGGCACCGTCTTTCACTACCCGGCTTCCGTACGTTCTGCAGAGGGACTGGACCAGTTAGAGTTAACACAACACTCCACGATTGACCTCGAGGTTCGTTTGATGTGTAGGTCCTAAGGTGCTGAAGTTTCCTGGTATCGTTATAAAAAGATGAAACCCACTTTTTTGGTAAGGACTAAACTTTCAGTTACTTTTACTTCGCGTTTCTATTCCGCTGGTCGAACGCCTGAACACGGTCGAAGTTTACCTCAAGCACGCCTCAATTTCTCCGAGACTTACTTGCAAGTCCGGCAGTTAAAGCCTAATGTCCTACAGCACCTGAAACCTTTTGACCACCCCGGTAGTGATGGTTTTATAGAGGTCTGACCGTTCTGCCGTAGTAGAGTTACAAAGGCAGGTGTATGGCGCCACACTGTCGTCGTAAGAGACGCGGAGTGTTTTTATTTTTACCAAGCGGTTGGCTTTTGTCTAACTTCAGACCGTCGTGTGTTGTCTCCCGGGGAGGCCTTAGCGGCAAAGGTTTCGCGGTCTCGGGCTGTGAAGTTTTAGTGAACGACGCCGTCTTCCTCACAAGTCTTTAGTTGTAACTTCACACACTTCATTCCAGTTGTAGCATGAGAAAGACTGTTGGGGACGACAGACATATTAGACTGACAAATAATACCTTGACACTAATTAGTCATTTGTACGACAGACAATAGACAACAAAACACACAAAACACCAAGTCACTTTTATTCCTTTAGTGTCAATTTACCACGGTGACATGTAATTACGAAAAGGTAAGAATTCGATTGCTATAATGATAATAGGTATAAGAGTTTACGTGATTTCCAAAGTCCCTCGCTTTTCCTCGCAAAAAACCTAACACCGAGAACGTTTTTATTAAAAAAGCAGTTACACCGAAGGACTTATTCCTGTTCCAACTCATGGGTGACACCGAATCTCACTAACAACAAAGGGTGGGACTAACACAGGTGGACACCGGGTTAATGGAATGTACAAC